ATGTCAACCAAAATGTATACGCCTGCTTTATTGATTATAATAAAGCATTTGATAAAGTGAGACACAAACCTAGATACATGAGACATACAAATAATAGTAAGATAGTAAGACTGGGGTGTATTCTTACGCCACTCTTCTACAACGTCTATTCAGAGGAAATCTTCACTAAAGCTCTCGGAAGGGAAACCGGTGGAATACGAGTCAATGGCATGTAGTCGCCATCTGTTGTGTAGAGAGCTGGACCCTCAATGTGTATTGCGAGCGGAAATTGGAACCCTTCGAGATGTGAGCCTAGCACAGGATGCTGAGAATATCATGGACAGAACATATAACCAACATGGCGGTTCTGAGAAGAATGAAAAAGCATTGGGAGATCCTGCATGAAGTGAAAAAAGGAAACTGCAATATCTCGGCCACATTATGAGAAGTCCGAAGTACGAGTTTTTGCACCTCATAAACCAGGGAAAAGTTGTGGGAAGAAGATTGGAAGGAGAATAATATCCTGGGTTAGTAATCTGCGAAAATGGTTCAATGTTACGTCGTCTTACCTATTCAGGGATACAGCGTCCAAAGTTATCATAGCAATGATGATAGCCAACCTCCAACCAAACGGAGGCGGTACATAAAGAAGAAGAATCCCGGAACTACACGAAAACTATGACTGATTCGGTCTCGCAGTTTTTCTGCGAGCAACTTGTTTTACAACACAAGTTGTGTTAGGTGAACGTGGTGGCCACGCAACTGGTCCACCTGTTACATGAAAAAGTTTGTTGATGTCTTGATTGTCTAATCGCGTGAGGATTTTCTGCAGCCCATAGTAAATTTTGCTTCATCCATAAAAAGTACAACGGATTGAAAGTTCGGAATGATGCACTGGGGTAGAAACCAGTTACAAAATATTCTTCAAACGCTGGTATTTCGGTGCCCCTTGAACCCGCATAATCTGTAGTGATAATGGATAAATGGTTAAAATAGCAAGTCAATTATTATCTTCTATTAATGTTGAAATTCGCATGTAACATTTTAATGAAGCATTTTTAGACACATGTTCATAGGAACTTTTTTTAAAGTTTTGTTTCATACATTGGTGAAGTTTAGCCAAGCAATTCAGATAGACCCAGTATAATGAACTGCTTCCCAACTGTGAGATGTGCTACCAAACTATTAATTGTTATTGTAAATACACCCTGGTAACAGCCTCCATACAGACCTTTAAATAGATACAATTGATAAAGGACTCAACAAATTTGTTAAGAGTTATGAGAGTCATGGAGAGTGTCTATGGCACTATACAGGGTGATTCGCAACCTATACGCATAAACTTCATGAGAAATAATGAGTAATAAAAAAACTGTAGCAAAAGTCTTTTAGTTTCCTAGATATCCATGAAATTTACTTTCAAATCAAGAATATACAGGGTGGTTTAGTTTTTAATCGGGAAACTTTACTAGGACGTAGTACTTGCCAAAATAGCACAAGTTTTTTATATAAACATAGGTCGCAACTCTTTTGTTTTCGAGCTGTGAGCTGTCAAAGTTGAGCAAAAAATTTACATTATATCTTTTATTTCGGGTATGAGTAAACCACAGAATTTGAAATTTTGTATGTATGTAGTATTGGTTAATATCTTATTTTCAGCCATACCTTAAACTTCCCTAGCGCCCTCTAAGGGGATGAAATTCACAACCCCTTTGATTTTTTTATAACAACTTCTTAACGCCATGGAATATTAACATAAAAAATATGGGTTGTAAAGCTTATTAATTATTGGTACTTTTTTGTAAAGCGCTGCTATTTTTTTCCTTTATAGGTGGCTATGGAAGTTGTGCACTTACTAGGATCTAGTGGTAACTAAATAACACCAATTAATTGTGATTTTCATAAGAAAAACCATAAATAAGATTAATGCCTGTCTGAACAAATTACGTTGTTTTGAACAATATTAAAAAATTGATACTCTTGCTTAATAACCGTCAAAAATTATTAATAACCAGCAATAATTATGGGGATTCACTGTAAATGAAACTTACAAGTTCTCAGAGCCAACTTTTCGAATAATTTTAGCTAAACATGGCGGCACATAGCAGTACATGGCACGATATTTTATTTTTTTACACGGAAACTATTAACTTTAAAGGAAAATACTAAAGAGACAAAAAAGTACCACTAAAGAATGAGCTTTACAACCCATATTTTTTTATGTTAATATTCCATAGCGTTAAAAAGTTGTTTTAAAAAAATCAAGGGGGTGGTGAATTTCAGCCCCTTAGATGGCGCTGGGGAAATTTAAGGTATGGTTGAAAATAAGGTCTTAACCAGTAGTACATACGTACAAAGTTTCAAATTCACTTACAGCCGAAATACAAAACACAATGTAAATTTTTTTCTCAACTTTGATCGCTCATTGCTCGAAAACAAAAGAGTTGCGACCCTATGTTTATATAAAAAATTTCTGTTATTTTTGCAAGTACTATATCCCAGTAAAGTTTCCCGATTAAAAACTGAACCACCCTGTATATAAGATTTTAAAATGACATTAAAGCAAGTGTTCCAAGTTGTTACCAATATTTTTTATACACAATCGGGCTCGCTGAATCCACGATGTCTAAACCAATGCGCCGGGGGTTGGCCGATTCTCTCGGCAGCACTTTGTATCTGATTTCACAACCCTTGCTCAGTATTAACTTCCTCGGTATTCACGTCCTCAGCTGCAATGTTAAATACCTGTGTTAGTAACTGAATGCCAGCCTCACTATCAGCCAAGAGGACGGCATCATCTGCATAGCACACAATCTTGATTTTGTAATCATTCATACTTTGTAATGTTTACTCTGTTCTAGTTCTTTTATTCTTAGTTTGTTGAACGAAACAGAAAAAGGTCGCTTGATGTTTTTCACCGGAGTTCTATCTGATACATTTTGATGCTCTCAAAATTGTGTGATTCATACATGTCATTCTTCATCTCGTTACTAAATTTCATCATGCATCACTTGTGTAAGCAACTCTTGCAATCAGAAGGACGTGAGCAAACGACACACTCAAATATATGTACAACATTTTTTGCAGAGGATGAAATAGGTATGGTAGTATTAGTTCTAAACAGATGAGATAGATTGGTGTTGCTGTGTAAGATGATTTCTGGAAGCAAATAGGTACTGTACGCTGTGGACATGACAGGCCAAGGTAGGCCAATGGACTACCTCGACCTGTCCATCTTCCGGGAAACACTTTATCTAGATGTCGCCGCATTATTACCCATTATTTATTTCGAGGAATAAATCCCCAAGTTTATACGTATAGGTTGAGAATCACCCTGTATGAGCTCCATTTAATTTACGACCCCACTTTAGCAGATAAGAAGAGACAACATTTGTCTGCTATAGAATTCGATTGCAAAATTATTACTCGAGGAGCAATTATCTGAGAAGATCATCTTCATTATTTATTAATTGTCCAATAAAAAAAAGAACATATACATATTAAAAAATAATTTTCATCAACAAATAATCATAATAATTATTAATTCTAATTCTAAACACTAATCACAATAAACATCCAATAACATCCCATCCCATCCCATTCTCATCATCTATTGTTAAGGATTTACAATGGGTTTGGTGGTGTTCCTTAATCCCCGGAACTCAATCGGAACATAAACGCCCGAATGTTAACAAGTGAATTTAATTCTCGTCGTGGCACCGTATGCCTTGCTGGAAAGGGGGTGCGCATTGTGCGGTGCCGAAGGGAATAATTCACTGGGGTACTACCAAAACTGCACCCCGCCTCCATCCCTATTTCTCTAAAACGGGCCGCCCTCGACGTTATTAATTACGAAACTTGGTGTTGTGACGCGAACCATTGTTGAAAATCTGATTGCCATCCTATCTCGTAAAGAGACGTCGACGACGACAACGATGGTGAGGAGACGAAGAGAAAAGGAGGCGGAGGAAGGATCCAGTTTTTAAAAAGGGACATCTGTCAAAAATATTTGATTTGAAATCGAGATAGTTTATTGAGTTGTAACATTTGTTGAAGATGTTTAAAGAGTCTTTTTTTTGAGATGGTATCATTTGATGGTTTTATTTTTAGTTTGATTTAGGTCGGTGATTTTTATATGTTTTTATTTTTTTTTGTTGGGTGTTCCAAAACAAAAAATTCCCTAACATCATGTCACGATCGTGTTTTCCTCGCAGACGCTTCCATTGTTTGAATCCTTGGAACAGAGGAGAGAGTTGACAAAGAAGAAGAATAGCGGTGTGCATAGCGGGTCCTAATGAAAATTATGCATTACTTCATATTTGAAAGGGCTGGGCGGGGACAAATCTGTACTCAAAGTGCCCGCCTTCGCGTTTCCGACTTCAACAACCCCTCCGGCTCCGCCACCCCTTTCTCATTTTGTGCGCCGCCCCTATTTCTCTCCCCGCATTTCTCTTCTCCTAGAAAAGGGCCTCAACAGCATGATAATACTCTACGTTTACACGACTTTTTTTAACGATTTACTTTTATAACGTTTTTTTGTTTTCATTTCGTGGGTTTTTGATGTTATATAAGGTATAAAAATACCTATGTGTAAAGACAAAGGGGATACGCAAAAAATGTTACTTTGAAATGAAGGGCTATTTAGAGTGAAATATAGAAAAAGATTTTTTTATTTAACCTAAATTTCGACGATAAAGATTGTGTTCTCAAACAATGTATAGGCGTAATCAAAAATATTTGCTTAAAAGTGTTTTACAATATTAATTAATTCACCAAAAAATTAAGTTATACAAAAAAGCAATCAAATGTCTTTATCTAAAAGGATCACTTTCAAATTGTAGAATCTCTAAACAAAACAGTTTTCGTTGAATAAACTAAACCAAGTGAATTTACGCTGGCGCAATGTGTCCCTTTGGAATTTTCTTTCTAAAGGGCGTCTATCCCTTTGGACCAATGAGAACAATTTGGGGTGGAGCTACCCTTATTACAGAAGGAAAGCGCGCCAGCGAGTTGTCAGTCAGCCGCCAACCACCAAATCTGCGAACACCAGCGATTTCCACAATCGGATTTATCTTCTAAACATCAGCAAAAAATTAACCTAAGTATTAATTACCATAAAGATATATTTATGGCGGGACCATATTTATCTCCACTTCCGGGTGATCTCCTTACGGAGTATATGTTTGGAAGGCGAAGGCAAAGAAGAAATCGGACAACTTTTAGCCCCCAACAGTTGCAAGAATTGGAAGCATTGTTTCAAAAGACTCATTATCCGGATGTCTTTTTAAGAGAAGAAGTTGCTTTGAGGATTAGTTTATCAGAAGCTCGGGTGCAGGTAAAGTTAATTTAAAAAAAATTATGTTATAAAATATTATTTACAATTCTAAACTTGGGATTAGGTTTGGTTTCAAAATCGAAGGGCTAAATGGAGGAAACAAGCGCGGCTTCAATTGCTTCAAGATGCTTGGAGGATGCGTTGTTTAGGTTTAAGTACTCCACCATTATTACTTACAGGTAAGTTTGTATTAATTTTTAAAGAAAACTCTTAACGTAGTTATTTCATAAATCAGAAAAAAAGATGCCGACATAAAATACAATATTTTACGTTAAGATTAATTTACTTTTAAATTTGTTTTGATAAATATCGAGAAACACAATCTTCAAAAACAAACTCTTAGGTTCAATTCGGACAAATTTAATAGTTTGAAAGGTCATTTAGTTTATTTCTAAAAGTTATCAAATGATTTACTCATATAGATTCTGAAGTAGTGCGAGAACAAATAGAATATGCAAATTTAGGACTTCAACTCAGCTTGTTCGTACAATTAGGCTTTTTCTACTCACTTCACTTTCGATCTTGAGGCTCTACTAGCTAGCTTATTTTAAAGGAAACATCTAAAACTAATCCATGTTATATCATTTTAATGCCATAGATGCCAGTCTGATTATCTACAAAACCTAAACCTTTGATACTATAAAAGTGTCCATCTGCCGATGTCTTTGGCTTACTAGTAACAAAATAGTATTTTGCTTAAAAAAGTGATTTATATCCCTTGTTGACAACTAATGGTGTACCTTTAGGATCAGGATACGTAAAGACATCCTTAACTTCACGTCCAATTCTAATAGTTTAAAAACTTCCATCGAACCCGTCGCCTTATTTTCATGCGATTTTATTGGTTATTTTATGGTGTCGTTTACCATAATGATCTCTTGCCAAGTAGACTGGTAGAGATCATTGTAGTAGATCTAGCCAAGTAGATTGGAACGTCTTTACTGCTATAACAGTTCTCAATTTATTAAGTGGAGCATCGATTCCGCGTATTTTTTTTGTTTTATTCAAACTAAAATAATTTCAAAATTAAGTTTGTGTGGAGATAATAACTGTAAATATGAGTATTTGTAATTACGAGTAAATTAAGTTGCATAAAAATGGCTGGAGAGATATTAAATGAAGAGAGAATAGTAGTTTAAAGTAGTTTAAAAATCCTGATCTTAAGTAAGTCAGAAAACATTAACACCTGAACTTGTTTCTCTTTGAAACCCATCTACATAAAAGTGGAGATCAGAATCAGCTAAATGTCATAAACGCAATCCAGTTCCCCTTCGCCAACCTATTCAACGAAGTACTTAGCGTTATCTGACGAGGCTAACTCTTGCTCGCATCTCCTTTATTCAGCGATATATCACATACTCCGAAAATTCTCAATGTGACATATGTGACATACATCCAAAGGAACTTGTATGGCCGCAAGCACTGGTTTGAACACGATTTTTTTTTGCTGGTTCGGACAATTATTATATTATATTAACATAGGTGTTTTATAAAACGTCCAACACGAAACAGATATTTTGTAAAATGACACATAGAAAGCAATAAATACAACTAGAAATATAGAACTGTATTTCCTAGTATTAGTTTCAGATATCTTTCAACTTTTTCCTACTGTATTTAGGCATAATTCGTTTGGAAGGTTATCGCTCCATTTTTACTAGGTCTTCCAATGCATTATTTATATTCTACTCATTATTTTCATTTTTGAAGTCTCTACTATTCTTTTTGTTTGGAATCTTTCTGGTCGGGTTCTCCTGCATAAGTTGGTATAGGTCTAATTGTAATCTTGTACATCCAGAATTTGGCTTCAGTTCGAATATACTTATTTCGCCATATTGTATCATTTAGGTACGCCGCGGCCCTTGACGTTCTTACAGCTTGATTCCTTGATGACCAGGTATTTAAATTTCATTTCCTGATGTATGATTTTATCATTGACCATAAGCTTGAATCTAATCGCTGTCTAGGAGGTGGTCACAGATTTTGTTTTTGGCGTTGATATTATCACGTTAAATTAATTTGCTGTTTTATTAAATTGGCACAGTCGTGCCTGGAATTATCGTCGTTCTCTTCCACCAGCATCCCCCATCGTCGACTGGCCGTCTTTTTGATTGCCCTTTGACAATGTATGTAACAACTCAGAGAAGACTTCAGTGAAGCTGGTTTATAGTATCTACACACACAGAGATCCCAATAACAAGTGCTTTCCTCACCATGAGATCTAGATACAAAAAATGCTAAACACAGCTGTAAATCACAGGTTTCATCAACCATCAAGCCAGAAAGGCATCAAGTATCACCGAATAATAACACTGACATAATTAAAAACAAGAGATAGTTTGTCTATTATTTGTTACTACGTACAAAATGAATCCTAACAAATAGAGAATTTCATTATCTACAAATTATATCTACATATTTTCCATTGGTCACTTTCGTATATTTACTATCGTATATTTTCATCAAAAAAACAGGCTTTTGCAAAATAAGAGTTAAAACTTTTCAATATAATTATCACATTAATACTGTTTATTTGTTACTTCCGTTACAATATTATTCGTTTCAGTTTGTATACTATTTAGTGGATTACCTTTATTAATTTAAATATTCTCTCTTCATTTAATATCTCTTCAGCCAGTTTTATGCAACTTAATTCACCCATAATTACAAATACTCATATTTACATTTCCACACAAACTTAATTTTGAAATTATTTTAATTTAAAATTATAATTCGCCTCGGTCGCAAAAGATCGTGGCTTAACTCGGGAGAAGAAAGCACGATGTCGTAATTTGGTAATTTGATACCATATTCGGTAGATTTCGGTTATAATAATAATGTTTATTGCCTCAAAAACAAATATTTACATAAATATACTATACATTCATAACAAATATAGACATCAAGCAAACGGATCAATTTATCGCAATAAGTGATATCTTCCAAGAGATCTAACTGGTAACAGTGTATATGTAATTTTAAATAAATAAATTATGGCTACCAAAAAAAAGTAATACTAAATGATGTGCTAATAAAACTGAGCGAATGAGCATATTTGAGTTATGTAACGGATCGATAGTCAGTTACTACAAGGAAGAAAAGACACAAACAAGAAAGTGCATTAAAAGATAGAGGAAAGGCAGACTAGGGAAGAAAACAAACACGTATAGGTCAAGAAGAAGATAGTTGAAGAGATAGCAGATGGCGCCTCAAGGCATTTTTAAAACTTATTAAACTAGTTGCATTGCGAACAACGGCAGGCAAATCGTTCCACAACACAATCGACTGAACTGTAAAAGATCTGTGGTAGATTTAAGTACTATGGACTGGAAACATGAGTGTAGAGTGCGACATTGATCGAGTGGGCAAGTCATGTGATACTAAAAAGCGAAAAGCATCAGACAAATAAGCAGAAGTGCGGGTATGGACAATTTTGTAGAACATAGTAAGCATACGAAATGATCTATGACTCTGGAAAATCATCATCTGCAGGTTGTTACGATTCCTAAATCCTAAATCAAAAATGTACCGTATACAATTGTTCTGAAGTCTTTCCAATTTACCCCGAAGGGCTGCGGACAGATCAGGATACGCAGCATCAGCATAATCAATGTGTGGGAAAATGAGAGAATAACAAAGACTACGACGTACAACAGGAGGAAGGTAGCAGAGAAGTTTTTTCAAAATATGGAAACAGAAACCCTCTTACAGACTCCCTGAACATGTGGTCGCCAAGACATCGCCGAATCCATTACCACACCAAGATTTTTGACCGTATTAGAAAACGGAATAACGGTGTCGTCAAGCCTCAGTTGAAGGGTAGTTAAGGAATTAAATTGTGTCAGCAAGGGGCGAGTGCCAAATGCAATGGCTTGCGTTTTACCTGGATTCAGGTTAAGTTCATGACGTTTAGACCAGTCAAGCACGCTAGAGAAATCGTTGTTAAGATGCAACAAAGCATTTGTGAGGTTGTTAACAGTTGACGAAATATAAAGTTGAAGGTCATCTGCATACAAATGATAGTTACACGAGATACCATCACTAATACTATTTATGGAAATTGAGAAGAGCAAAGGACCCAGCACACTGTCCTGAGGAACTCCTCATTTGATGTCATCAGGAGAAGAGAGCACAGATTCCACGCGGACATATAAAGACCGATAGGAAAGGTAGGACTGGAACTAAGATACACAGGAAGAGTTAAAACCAATAGCAGAAAGCCTAGTTAACAGGAAGGCATGGTCCACAGAATCAAAGGCTTTACTAAAATCAAGTAACACTAGCAAGGTAACACAACGCTTATAACAAGCAGAACTTACATCGGTGATCTTAATCAGTGCTGTAGTAGTACCATGCCCCTCACGAAAACCAGACTGGAACTTATTAATCAGATTAAACTCCTCAAGATATTTCTGAATCTGTCAATAAGCTAAACTTTATAATGTATCTTCACGAAATCAAAAGGGGTGTACGTTATATCAGAGTTAAAATATCATTTTTAAGTAGGTATGAATAAATTCGTGTTCAAACATTTCAAAAAGCAAATTGAATGTTTTTACTGATTCTTTGAAGCCATTTCTTCTAATTACTTCTTCACTAACTGTAATTCAAACTTACGCCACCATTCAAAAGAAGTCCAACAAATACAATACAAATTTTTCCCCATCATACCACTCTTTAATCAATTTTTGCAATAGATTTTTACGGTAGTGAGATATAGTGAGAATACTTGTACATCCGATTGAACGTTATAACCCGGGTACGTAATAACCGGACTTTACTGTAGTTACAATATGATAACTATATGGTATCAACTGTAACGACACAACCAACTCGGTTGTGCACTCAGGATTTTCTCTGTTTTTTCTTTAAGTGATTCTTCGTTTTATAGATTTGATGCTTCTTGTTCGATATGCATTTATCCCACAATATGGAATTCAGCACAGCTGTTGCTCTTCTGCCTTGTATGTTTTTATCTTTTGTGGTTCCCAAATATTTGTACTTATTAGTGTATTTTATGCAATTCCCAACGTTTAGGTCAAGGTCCCGCTGCTGTTCTCCCACACACATATGCGTCGTTCTTTTGTATAGTAACTTATATTAACTTCCACTCATTCACTATAGTGCCTTATGAGCTTCCTGCTCTGGTCGTCGTGCTTCCTGGTCGTCGGCGAACCGTAGTGTATAATACCCATAGTGCTTGCTCTAGCTATATTTTGAACAAAGTCGTGGATAGACGCACCTCTGCTTAAGACCTTTTGCGATGTGGATGCCATTCAACGCTCTGTGTATCATCTTGATTTAAGTTGATGCTTGTTGCTATAAATTTCTTATTGCCTTTATTATGGTCACACTGATGATCGTTCTTTCGATTAGTTCCCATAACATACTTTGTTGGTTGCTGTCATACGCTATTGAGGTCTAGAAATACTGGATTAGGTTTCTGGATTATGCCTTGTTCTCTTTCATTAACTAATTGTAAGACACAAAAGAGGTGATGTTCCAGTCTGGAGTTCTGCCTGCCCCTCTGCTTACATACCTCTGTACTCTGGGTCTATTTTATTGGCCAGAATCTTGTCAAATACTTCATATAGCGTACCGGTTACTGCTACATCTCTGTAATTGTCACAGTTTCGTTCTCTCGTTTTACGTATGGTGGATATAAAGGTTGTGTTCCATTTCTCTGGAATTTGTTTACCAGTAAGGTTCTGACAGTTCTGACTTAGATGGTTTCTAACGTATACGAGTTCTACGCATACTTTCTACGTTCTCTTTTTTCTTCAGGAATTTCGGATTTAGCAGAAACATGTCTTCTCTCATGTTTCTTTTTTTTTTTCTATTTTATAATTCCGGATTTGATTCCGCACCTCTGCCTACGCTTGTTTGTATCGTCGTATATGCTTGTTTGATTTTGATAACAAGGATATTTACTCTCTTAACTCGAATTGCATCTTCTATTTCTTCGTTCCATCAATATGGTACCCTAATTTGTCGATTTACCCTATACCTCACAGCTTCTTTGGCTATTGAGCACATCTTTATAAAGTGGTTCTTCGTCACCTTTATATTACATGTTTTCTTGTTTTAATCTAATCTAGCTGTATGTAGTTTCTAGGTACTTTCGTCAATTAAACTGTTCAAAATAAATCTTCCCTTTGTTCTCCCTGCCCTTTTTCCGTGTCTCTCCCTTTTTCGTATTTCTTTGGAAACACTATATTTGCTGTTAATAGGTGGTGGTCGCTACAGCATGTTGCTGTATAGATTCGCACGCCCTGCAAAATTAGATTTTTTTTTCTCGTTATTGTGTAGTCCATGCGTGTCTATTATGGACTTTAGATTTTTTTTTGGATACAGGTGTATTTGTGTATGTACTACACAAACTTGGCCATTAAATTGTTTTTCTAATAACTTTTTTGCTGCTATTAAAGCTCGCATTCTTTATAGTTATATCATAAGTGATTACACACCTGTCTTAAATCAAATTTATAAGCTGAATTAACACATTATTGATAAAATACTTGCATAACAAGTAATACTTTTAAAATAGAGTTCTAGATACTAGATTCACACAGGGAACACTAGATTGCAGACACGTTTTTGCTTTGATTAATTTTTGACAAATATTATTAAATAACTCCGTCTTTAGATTTAAGAGCTAATATAATAGAGTTAGATAACGACTTATATCTTAAATTAAAAACAAAGTCTTTATGTTTGAATAATGTTGAATAACAAGCAAATTTAATAATAAAAAGTTCTTATCGTAATCTGATACTGTACAAGAATAACTTTGCGTTTAGTTGATCGCAATACAATACCGGATGTTACCAGATAACATATCGACTGGCACATTACGTGTAGTTAAAACCGCTGAAGATACACAAATTATTTAAATCACAAATTGTACGATTTATTTTAAAATATACTAGATTAAATACGAATTTTAAATTGATATAAAATTGAATATATTTGAAAGTGTATTTTGATTTAAATCTGTTTATGTAAAATCTTAATTAATTTGATTTATATTTTTAAGAAAAAAGATTAATTGAGTTCAATTAAAAAGTACTAAATAATTTTTTTTTTTTAACAGGGCGTCCAACAGCTCCTGGTTTACCAACCGAAATCTCACCGCAAGATAAACATCCAGAAGCTAACTTTTCTTCGATGCTTCATCATCATAGCTCGATTCCAGGACCACATCCTCCGTGTCCATGTTCACCAGATAACAGCCACAGTCCTTCTAGTTTAAGAAATACCCCAAGCCCAAGATCAATTTCACCCGGTGGACCTGACGATTTATCTATTTCCAAGAAATTACCCGATAGTTATTCACCAAACACACGAGTCGATGTCAACAACTAAAAATAAAAAATAAAATAAAAAAACTAAAAAGAAATTATTTTAGAAATAAGGGAATTATATCGATAACAATCTTAAATTCAATTATTTGTAATTATTAGAATTTAACGAATATTTTCTTAAATTATTTTTAATTTTAGACTAGATGATCTTGAGATGATAATGAAGCGATTTTAGGGTGCAATAGGAGTCGTATTTGAGGTAGTTTATCAAGATCTTGTAAATAAATATTGAGTTTGGAGATAATTTAAAAAAATAAAGATTAAAATTATATAATATTAATAAATTTTAAAAATCTTTAAACTGAACACAAATGCAAGAAGTTTAATTTATTGCTAAAGTTAAAATTTGATTTATTTTATTTAACCACGTAGTTTTTGTCTTTTTAACGTACCAACATTAAAATATCAATTGAGTTTATTCATTTATCCAAAGAAATCGATTTATATGTTAACTGTATAGACGTTTTCAAAAGTAAAAAATGAATATCTAATCTATGTTACATACGGTTGTGTTTAAATAACATTTCAAACAAATATGGGTGATTTCAGCTCCCTAGAATAATATTAGGGAGAGAAAAAGTTTTAAAAAACTTATACCCCAGTTTGTTTCTTTCTTCATCGAAACATACACATTTTTATTGCTAATTCTGCAACGTTTCATAAACTTTCTATAAGAAATCGATTTTGATGATTATTTTAAGATTGGAGATGGTGCTTTGGGCCATTTTAAAGATTTTTTATTCCCTTAATGATGAAACATAATTAAAAAAAAAGAAATATTAAAAAATCAAAAAATTCATTATATGTACATAAATTATTTGAAACACCTTTTATGATAAAATATCCATTCTAGACAATAAATAAATATTAATAAAATCACTTACATTTTAATACCTATTTTAATTCTTTTTATTTGGCAACTGACAATTTCAATCAATATAGGTTAATTTTATTTATAACCAAAATGAAAGATGTATTATTAATTTTTTGATTAATTTATAAAGAAAAAAAGCCATATGTTAACATCAACAATTGCGTCCTCCTTTAAAGGTAAGTTCTTCTTTTCGTATTAAAAAAGAACCAGTTTTCTTAATCTTCACGGTGAATCGCGGATATTCTCAATTTCATTCCCCTTCTCATACCAAGAAGCGAATCGAAATCTCGAAGCGTAAATACAAAAATAAAAAAAAAACAATAATAAAAAGAGGAGATAACGTGTACATACTTTATATACGATCGCATCGGATTCGTTTCGTTTTCACATTGTGTGTCATGCACGTAGTATCGTGCAAACAAGTCTTCGTCGACTTTAAAACTAAAATAATCGATGAAGTTTATAAATATTTAAAACTGAAGTATTTTGTATAAGTAGTGTCCCGTTGGTTGGTGTGTAGTAAATTTGTAGTTGAACCAGCAGAGCGAAGGTCACAGTTAATTTCTTTATAATTATTTTTAATCGTTGTAATACGAAGATGAACCGGGATTAAAGTAGTTGCGCGAATTGAGAATTTACCGCTACTTTTATCGTGTTAGCTAGAAATAGAAGAGAAACGAAACGATGGGAACGAAACGAGTGTGTTCTTCAACTTTGCTCCGAGTTTATTATGAAATGTGGTTTTGATTTTCTCTTATTTCATCAATTTAAAACTGTGTTTTTATTTTGTAATTGTTTAAATTGTTTTATTGGAAAGAGAATAGGTAAGAAAAAAATAATTATATTAGAATTAATTAGATATTTCCTTTCTTACGTAATTCTTTCATAAATTATTATGAATATAGTAATCACAAGTTTACTACTACTTATAGTTTTATAATCACAACATTTTATTATTTATTTAAATAACTTAACTTTAATTTAACATTTTAATTATAACTAAATAAAAAAGTCTTGAAACTTTTTTTCGTAAATTTTTTTTATTAATTTTGTAACTTATTAATTATAGTTATTTCTTATTTATTTTACTTTATTTTGTATTACTTATTTAACATGGCTTACTTTAATATATGATCTTTTATTATAAATTTAAGATATGAATCAAAACTTTGTGATTACAGCCTATCTTACATATTCTTCTGAAATGTTTTTTATCTTTATGAATCATGGGCGTTTGGAGCCAAAATAATAGAGGAGTGCAATAAAATGATATATAGAAAACGAAGTAGAATATTGATAAACAGTGAATTTCACTTAAAATGCAACATACAAAAATATATTTCCATAGAAACCGGTACATAGGTAGATACGTCCTACCTACTTACTTTGTCCCACATAAAATGCAACATGTCTAAATGTTTCTGGTTGTAGGTCTAATGTTAGTTCTAGTGACAGTGATAGGTAGCGCTAGTTAACATATGATATCATTATGTTGCATATTATATAGTTGTAGTTTTACACTATCACTAGAACTAACACAAGACCTATAACTAGAATCATTCGGGTTTAGACGTCTTGAGACACGTGCGGCTAAATCCGAATGTTTCTCATTCTCGGTTTAGTGTTATTTCTAGTATAGTGCAATACTACACTATACTAGTGCACTATCACAAATTCTGATGAATTCGTTTCTAGTTCTAAGTTTAGTGTTAGTTCTAGTTTCAATTGTTATTCAACGTTAAATTGTGGTATATTTTTATTGAACGAAAAGTAGAACTAACACTAGACCTAGAACCAGAAACATTCCGATTATCATAAAGACATCTTTTTTTTCCAAGCGAAACTTTTCCTTTGCAAAACTACCCAATGCCTGTACTATTAAGCTATGTTGTATTTTATGTGGGACAGTGTAAGTGCGTAGTAGTTTCGTAACTGTAGTTACTACATTCATATATTTCAAGTTATATGAAATTCCCGATATTTTTTATATTGTATTGCCCAGTATATTGACGTTTACATCATCAATTTGAGTCAGGTAAGTGTTACTAAGCAACACTTACCCGACTGTTACAATATAAATTCAACATAAACAAACTGTAGCAACACCGTTGCCATTAAAAAAATATCAAAATATAGTGTCATTTTTAACTTTTGAAATTATTAAATATTTTACACCGTAATTGCAGTTTAATTGACCACATTCATATATTGCCGTACTCGTAGATATTTAGTAGTTTATATTAGTACTAGTTTAGATATTTCAGACTTGGTGCCTTCGTCATCTCGTCCGTAATATCTAACTCGTACTGTTACAAGTCCCCTTCCGGTTTTATAACGTAAATAATCATTTCTTCAAAACTTCTTTGAACAGAACAATCTTTCGGCTGAAAGTCATAAAAGTAGTGATTGACTTAGCTACTACTGAAAAATTCAATTTCCTTCAAAAAGTCATGGAGTCGTGCGTCAGTTTCTTCATAAAGTTTTTGTGTATAACTTCTTTAAACGACTATAATAGCTATCTTTCCATCTTTTTGGCGGTCATCCTGGCTGCCTTTTATATGCTGGTCAGCAATCTCTGGCAATTCTTGGCAGTTCATTCCCTTCAATTCATGAAACGCGCTCGTTCCAGAGTCGTTTATGTGCGCGCATCCATACTTCTTTCGTTTCGATTTACTCCCGAATTTCCTTGCTTCTTCTCTGATCACATAGTGTGTATCCAGTGATGGTTCTCAAAATCGCTATTTCGTTACTTCGAACCATCCATTTGGTTGCCACTTTGTGCACCTCCGCAGTATATGTCATTATTGGCTTGACGCAGGCTTTGTATATCCTTACTTTGGTCTTGGTAGATACGCAGTCGTTTCTTCATATGGTCGTTCTTAGTGCTCCCGCTATTGTAACTGACACGTGTTCTCGCGTAGTTCTTAACTCCTCCATACGACGATATACCTACGCCCAAATAAATATTGCTTGTTACTTACTCTATCATATTGACTTCTAGATATTACCACATCTTTTGTTTTGTTAACATTTATTTCCATGTAGACCTTTTTCGCATGTATTCTAAAAGCCTGCAGTAACCATTGTAGTCCATTTACTGTGTCTGCAATCAAAGTTGCGTCTTTCTCGTAGTATATGATTTTTAGTTCGTCTTTTCCAATCTTGATCCCGTATTTTTGCTTATGCATTTTTCTATGATTCCGTTCATTAAGATATCACCCTGCCTCACACCAACATTCAAAGGTATAATATTTCTTCCATGCTAAGCGTCTTTGTTTTGATTATTGTGATACTGTTTACATTAGGTTGCGTGGTCTGTTTGTTTCTTTTATGTGTGGATGTCTCTCTGTAGTCTAATACAGAGTATCTATGAAGCATAAGCATGCTGGTTTGTTATATTCTATTGCTTTCGTCCGCACATTATTAACTACGAAGACAGCGTCGACCGTTGACTTACTTTCCCGACACCCCTGCTGTTTCTTGCTTCTTGTTATGTGGTCCAGAATGCGGTGTTGCAGGAGACGGGAGAACAACTTCATAGATGTATCTAGAGGAAAATTTGTCTTCAATTCTCTAGGTCTGAGAATGTTCCTTTCTTAAAGAGTGGAACAGTGATACTGTTTCACCAGTTCTCTGGAGTTTGTTCGACCAGTATTTTATTATACAGTGGTGATATTGTCCGGATCTGGTAACTAGCCAGGTCCTCCGTTGTCAATTGTTAGCATTTCCTTCATCTTTCACCTTTTTTCTGTATACCGACCTTGAACTTTTGCGCTTGCTGATTCGTTTTTGGGTTCCATATAGGTCATATTTCATTTCTTTACTAATCTCTTTTCAATGTTCTCTCTTCATCTTCCTTATTCTTTTGTTTGATCTGTTCCTTTTACTTATGAAGTTCATATAGTTTCTTGGTATCTTCTGGATTTATATAATAAGTGGGACCTCTTTTTTGCTTGGACTGATAGTTTTCCCTGGGATGTGAACCAATGTTTTTTATTCCTATAAGAAGTATTAGCATTGATGAGTCTTGCACTCAATACTTCCGCCGCGGCTTGATTTATTTTGCTTTGATTGGGTGCTTAAATTTATATATAGATGGATTTTTAAGCTTGTTTGTTTGGATTAATGGTCCTTTCATTCTAATTTTTGCTAACATTAGATTTTGATCAGATCCTACATTAGCCAATGCTAAGAACCTAAAATCTAAAATTTGTCTTGTCTGATTGCCCTGTTTGTTATTATGTAATCTATTGTAGGCATTATTCCTCTCCTTTCTTGAAACGTAATCTTTTGTTGAGATTTGTATTCAAAATAGATGTTGTTAATCCTCAATTCGTTGTGGAAGCAAAAATCAACCAACTTCTCACCTTCATTCCAAGTTCATTCATTATTTTTTGCATTAAATGCGTTTTTGCTGCTCTTTTGTCTTTGACCATGCCAATTATTTCTATTGGGTAATTGCTTCCTTTTGTAGTATGCTTTATTTCTCTGGTATTATCAAGCAGCTGTATGTATTATTATTTTCTTGTTATTCCAGTTTTGTTATTTCCTCAGTAGTTTTAAACTAATCTTTCATATCTTGGTGGGCCAATATGTGGTTTTGTCTGTTTAATGGAAACTTCCGCCCGTTTCTCTAATAGGTAAGCTTTCTTCCCCAATCAGTCCGTTTGGCAATCAAGTTTGACAAATTTTTTTTATAAATGTCCTGTAATAAATTGTGTATTTTGGTGGGTCGTAAATTGCTCCAATTTCATGTTACAATAACGAGGTCTTTTTGAGCCATGAGAGTACTTTTGGGATTGAACCAGTCGATCCTACTTCTAATCAATCTCATCTTTCATTAAATTGATTTTCATAACCGTTTTTACCTCCTTGTACTGCATCAGTAAAGGTCATTTGATTTCCCTATTTGGTTCTCTTCATTTTTGCAGCAATTTGACAAGGTTACATTTTTGCACATTGTCTGCATAGATTTATGCAGGTGATTTTCTGCGTAATTAACACATACATGATAAGGTCTAGAGAATTTTTGGGTAAGTCCGATGGTTTGACAATTTTTTCATTGCGGAATTAATTTTCTTATTTTAAACGCTTCTATTCTAACTTTCATATTGACTAGGTATTAGATCCCGTTCAATTTTTTTATATCCTCTGTTTTGTTAAAAGTGACCATTACTTTTGGCAAATTAGTAGCTTGATGTAACTAACGGCTGTGAATATATTATACTACTTTCTACTGTTGGTAGTGAATGAAAGTCACTAAGGAAGGAATTGGGAGGTATTAAGAGTATTTCAAAGTGTTGAAAGAAATTGAACGAAAGATATTGGGAGGTATCATTAGCTGTTGAGAGCTATCAGAGTTGACGAGAGACATTACGATGTCTTGTAAGCCATTCTAAAACCAACGGTTTTGTTAAGCACTGAAAGCCAATAACAACGTAAGATACAGTATCATAAGATGTTATTTGAAATCAATGGAAGACATTGTGATGTACTCCTAGCTGATGGTAGCAATTAGCAAGTTGAGACCGCTTCAATGTGTGGTGTAATCGGTCAATTTGGACCTAACTAGTTTCTAAAAGCGAGTGGTTCTGAGTTCCAGTAAGACCATCTAAAGATACCGGGAGCTATATAGGCTACTCTAAAATGAATGGTTTTAGAGACATTGTGATATACTTACAGCCGTTGGAAGCAATTGGCAGAAATTAGAAAGTAATTAAAAATGTAATCTGTTAAGATTTAAATTTTAATAAATCTTTAAATCTGTATAGTTTATTTTACAAGTTGATTCATTAATTTCATTCATAAATCACGTTTTAATTCCTAAAAATACCTTCTTATTGATTTTATTTTCTTTTATCCCATTAGAACTAGAAGAGAAATCAGGAATGAGACGAGCATATTCATCATCAATTTTACGCTGACACAAAACGTGGTTTTTATTTTATATTTTTTATATTTTACCATAATGAAACATACGTTTCTTTTATTGGTAATCAATTTTCATTTTGCGATCTCCGATATTTTTTATACTAACAACATTAGGTAAGAAAGTAATACAGCAAAAATCTATATATTTATATACCTTTTTACTTCTAGAATAGAAAATCAGAATTTTCATTGGGGTTGGAGTTGCAACAATGAAAAAGAGGTTTGCCAAAGATCCGCGGAACCGATTGATTTTAATTTAGAAGATTTAGCAAGTTTGTATGTTAAATCACAACGATTATGCAAATTAACTTGTGGTCGTTATGGACCACTTTGGCCGAGACCTAGGATACAAACGAGTTTGTCAAAAACTGCGATACCATTTCATCCGAGTAAATTAAAATTTCGCCCATTTATCGGCGATGAAAATGTTGCAAAATATTTAAAAGAGTTTGAATCATTATTTTTGGAAAAATTAGATGGTGAATGCAACGGTTGTCAATTAAAATCGGATAATCAAATTACTGTTATACTCACTGTTAAAGTTAATTCAACGGATTTAATCCATAAAACGGATGAAAGTTACATTCTAAATATTACTTATGATGATGAAATTAAAAAAGGTATAAATTTAATGGTAAATATAACTGGAATGACAATTTTTGGTGTACGTCATGGTTTAGAAACTCTATCTCAATTAATTGTTTCAAATAAAACCTTAAAATACCACGACGAAGAAAAAAATACAATTTTATTTATAATACGTAAAGCTTTTATAAGCGACAAACCAGCTTATTTTCATCGAGGTCTTTTAATAGACACAGCAAGAAATTTCCTATCGATATCAACGATTAAATCTCAAATAAATGGAATGTCTATGAGTAAAATGAACGTTTTGCATTGGCACGCTACTGATACTCAAAGTTTTCCTATAGTTTTTCCGAGCGTACCTAGTTTAGCAAGATATGGAGCGTATTCTGATACACAAACTTATAGTTTTTATGAAATTCAAGAACTGTTAGATTATGCTAAATTAAGAGGGGTTAGAATTATTATGGAAATTGATGCTCCAGCTCATGCTGGAAACGGTTGGCAATTTGGTGCTCATGCTGGACTTGGAGATTTAGCAGTTTGTGTGAATAGATCGCCGTGGAGGCAATATTGTATTCAACCACCTTGTGGGCAATTAAATCCAATTAATAAAAATGTTTATTTAACATTGGGAAAACTTTATAGTGACTTAGCTAAAATTTTTCCTAAAGGAGAGTTTTTCCATATGGGTGGAGATGAAGTAAATTAATTTGAAATATCACAAGTTCTTGTGATAATGTTTAAAAAGAAAAATTAAAGAAATTTCTTTTTAGTTATTTATTCCTTGTTGGAATTCGACTCAAGAAATTTTAGATTATATGTCACAAGCCGGAATGGGAAGAGATTTAGAAGATTTTATTGTGCTTTGGGGTGAATACCAAGAAAAAGCTTTAAACACTTTTAATGCAAATTTTGGAAATTCTTCAATAATCCTTTGGTCATCGACTTTAACAGAACCAGCTATTATATCAAAATTTTTAGATAGAATTAGGTTTCTTTCCACCATCGATTAAGTCAAAAGCTAGATTTAATAATGTATTTTTAAGATATATTATTCAAACTTGGGTTCGAAATGATGATCCCATACCTAACCAATTAATTGCAAAAGGTTATGATTTAATCATTTCCACAAAAAATGCCTGGTATTTAGATCATGGTTTTTGGGGAAACACCCGATATTATACTTGGAGGACAGTTTATGAAAATCAAATAATTAGGCATAGAAATGTTTTAGGTGGCGAAGTAAGGATATATTTAAATCAAAAAGTATTATACAATTTTTAATCAATTTTTGTATGTTAATTAGGTTTGTATGTGGGGTGAATACACTGATGATTCGACAATTGATGGAAAGGTTTGGCCGAGAGCTGCAGCGGCAGGTGAACGATTGTGGACGGATTCGGAAGAAAAAAGTGGTGAAGTTGAAACGAGGTTTTTCATTCATCGAGAAAGACTCGTGGAGGCAGGTATTAAAGCTGATGCAATTACTCCGGAATGGTGTGTGCAGAACGAAGGATCCTGTTCGTGAGGATTTTAGAAAGAATTCTTTTTTTGTTGTTCCTTATAATTAAATATTATTTTATATTAAAAATATAAGCAAATCAAACAACGAATAAAGCTGTTATATTTTTGTGATTTATTTTACAATCCTTTTTAAATCTTTTTCTTGTGTTTTTATATAACTAATAGCAATTGTATTAAATATATTCAATTTTAAAACAGCGCAGTAATTTCAAAATACAATAGAATTTTAGGATTTCTCAGTTTACATAAAATTATAGTTATGTAATCAGATAAGTATCGCTTTCTATGGAGCCATTTCATTGATTTATTATAAAAAATGTTTCTTATTGAAATATATAGTTAGTACTTGCAGATTTAATAATCTCTGGGTATAATTGTCTGGGATTGAAAATTTGGAGCTGCCTAAGATTTTTCAATGCGACCAGTCTCGATCAAAATCGAGATAACTGTAATCAACCACGAACAACTTATGGCCAACAACTTAATCAGTAGTAAATATTTATACAGATAAATATTGAAGTTCTCGTTTAGCCTCCACATGAGTCTGGTCATCTTATAATTGCTCTACATCAGGATCATTTTTTCTTGAGCAACTTGCAAAATCTCAGTAAGTAGGTACTAATTTTATTACTATATATATTTTGTAGCATGTGTATTGTGTATTGACAATATTTTCTGTCCTATTGAACACCTAATTTTAAGTTTTTGCAACATTCTAATGCGATAGGTGTCGGTTTTTGGACGATGGAAATAAATTGCATTCGGTTTGAAAAATAAGCCTATAAAAGAGACTTTGGCCAAAATTTCCTTCTGTAATAACCCTAATACAGCTGATACAGCCTGCAAACATTAAGAAAGGTAGACAAATATTTACTGTGCTGATTTCTAATTCTGGAAATCTGGTACTATTCTGCCTGAAATATCTTAGTATAGTCCATTATACAATTGACATGTTCACTAATTCTATTGGAATGTTATGGTGTCTGCGCCGCTTATCTAGTGAAGGAACAGGCTTCTCTGATTTTAACACGTTAAACGGCATGAGACACGACTCAGAATCCTGTAAGAACTTCTGCCAAGCAATAATTCGAATGCTAATTTCCGGTACCATTATATGCTTTTATGTAATGGCGAGGAGTATCATTTTATCTGGTTCGATAATTATATAAAAACTTTGGAATTATTATAATCAACGATTATTTCAGGTTTATCTACTTCGCTACTTCTAAATTGAACTGTAGTTACTGTGTATTGGTGTGTTTTGAAGTTATTGTTAGCACATCACGCTTACCTTTCCATTTCAGAATGACCACACCCGAATTTGATTCTTCTACGTAATATTTCTGTTTGTTCAGTACTTTTGATATAACTTTTTTAGATTTACTTTCCCTGTTGTTTCTGAAAGTACCAACAAGGCGCGTATTCCTGGCCAGGAATTTCTTGATATATTGCTTAAAGAAGGCGTCCTGTTGTCTAGTTAATAGATGCAGTGTCTTTAACTGTCTTTCAGTTTGGTAATAAGAGGAGTTAGTTTATGCAGTCTATCTCCCGGCTGCATAGCCTTCAACACTGTCATTCATCCCAGTTTGTGTCGAACCAAGCTTTCAACCTAGAACTCTTCTCCACGATAACAGCTGTTGTCAACAATGCAGAAAAAAACCATCATCAAGAAATAGAAAAAGAAAATCCCACGGACTCAGTTGGTTCATATCTGTTAGATTGTTTTCCTAGGCCATTAGTAGTAATAGCAAAAAAAACACCGTCATTCGTCGCAGTTTGTGTCGAACCAGGCTTTCAACCTAGAACTCTTCTCCACGACAACGACTGTTATCAACAATGCAGGAAAAAATCATCATCAAGAAATAGAAAATGAAAATCGTCGAGTGACCACAAGTTATGGTATGTCTCTCACCTGAATCTTTATTTGGATCCTCCCCACATAAATACTTTGAAATAACTGCATCAATTGTTCCATCTACGGTCGATATTCTTGGTTGAGTATCGTTGATGAATATCCTTTTAGCTTGGTGTATCTTTGGTTTCTTTTACTGAACTTATTGCTAAAGGTTAGTTTTTTTTTCGTAGTTCGTAGTATGTTTATGCGGCCCATACATACGCAGGTAAGTGTTAGGTACTTGCCTGCATAGGTCGTAAATCGCGAATAAGTGCGTAAGTGTAGAGCTAAAACAGTTTGCACGTTCATTTTCAGATGCGACTTGAAAAAAATCAGATGAGGTTTGATTTTTCTCGCAACTTCGAAGGTAAGCATGAATGTATGTTAACACTTATTCGAGTAAAGCATCAATATAGTTGATAAAGATCATGGTGCATCTATATCACCACTTTAAATGTAAGTATAGAATAAGTGTCCTTTTTTATGACCTCCCGGCCATCATCAGAAGACCTGTCAAGGATTTGTGACATATAGATTACTATCATAATTACTGGAATTACAATGAATGTTTTTAATCAAGATTAATTTATCCTGGAAATAGCGTAAGCTATGCTTTTTTTCATTAAGTAACGTTTTGATATCTTTTTCATATTTTGTTTTCGATATTCATAAGCGCAAAAGATCAATTACAATTAATATTGGTTCATCAGGACTCATCATATGTGAATATTTCTGTATTTACAACTAAAGTAGAGTATCACCACTTAATCTTCTATACAATTTCGTTCAAACTGAGTAACTGAAGTGAATAATGTATGGCGAAAACTGACCTTCAGTTTGGCTCCAGATTTTGGAGTGTACTATCCAACGCGCAAAACGGTTTACATCAATTTAGCAAGATTTGCCTCCATGTTTCACCGTGAGTAATGATAAATTGAAATGAAAGACGTATGTCCAACGATGACTAGAAGTTTTTTATTTAATTTAGGTGCGACATATGTTTCGCCGGATAATTAGACATCTTCAGACACGTCGTCAAGAAGTTATTCCAAGAAGTATTATTCATAATGTAAAAACTGATTTTGGATTGTGGTTCTAAGGTATCATCTTCTACGTGATTGTCATTACATTCTTGGAGTGAACTCGGTTCAGAGATTGGTTTGGTGACACTATCGACTAAATCATCGTCAGTGATGTGTTCACAGTCCAAAACATTCGAGTCAATATTTAGCCACTCCAGAATATTTTCGTCATCCAGTTCTTCATAGCTCTGAACATTTGTAATGACTGAAATACATCTACATATTGAGAGTGTTTTTATGTGTTTTAAAGCTTTAAGCGACTGTGACTTCCCTACTACAGCTAATTTTTGCTTATCTTTTCCAGTAGCATTTGAATAACATAATACTGTAATCCGATCTTTACTAATTTTATAGTCAGGAGCAGTTTTTTCTTTAGCAGATACTAATGTATGAGTTGGCATTGCACGTCAATAGAGGCCTGGCACATCAGCATTGTATATTTGGGCAGGTAGTAAACCGCTAATAACGTTTGATAACGTGTCACAAAAAATTGTAGCCCCAACTTCGTTAGCACTAAGCTGTTTTCCTTGAATTTGTAATTCTCTAATTCCACGCCTTTCTTTAAAACGTCGCAAACACTCTTTAAAACAACCTGTTGAAAGTGTAAGTCTTTCTATCATCTGTAACTTTTCTGCACAGTATTGTGCTTTAGCTAACAGATACGGACCGAACATCGGAAAGCTCGACAATCAGTTCTTACTGATATAATATCAAGAAAGATTTCCACAGCGTCATTTGCCATATTATTCAGTTTTTAGCGATTCTTTCAGAAGACTTCGAGAAACAGGTAATCCTGCTCCAGCAAAAGCTATGCGACTGTATGTAGTTAATGTAGAGGACGAAGAAGCTGTAATTAATGCTGTCATTGATAATTTTTCCATCAGTACTCGAAGAATAGCACACAACATACATGTAAGTCAAAAATTTGCATGGCGCATATTGAACCGCGAAGTCCTTCATCCGTATCGTAAACAGAATGTTCAAGCTAGAGGAGATAATCAGCAACCGTTAGCATTTTGTGAATGGGTATTGCAGCAACATGCCCAAAATAATGACTTCATTTCAAATGTTCTCTGGACAGATGAATCATGTTTTACACGAGATGGTATAAATAATTACCATAATGAACATATCTTGGCATTACAAAATCCGCATGCGATTAGACCAAGGAAATTTCAACAACGTATCAGCATCAACGTTTGGGGTGAAATATTTAACAACAATTTACTAAGTTTGCATGTATTTAATGGACGTTTGAACGCTGTAAATTACAGATTTTTTTTTGAACAATACACTTTTTGATTTACTTGAAGATATACCTCCTTATGGCCCACTTTTACCATCCTCCTGATAAACTATCTAGAGGATAGTTGCCATGGTTACGGCGGTTTTAAGTGCTCTCATTGGCTAAGAGCTATTGATCTATCGGATAAATTTATCAAGAGGTGGTAAAAGTGGGCCTATGTAATTTAATTCGTAACCTTTAATTCGTCGTTGTGAAGCATGTATTCTAGCAGAAGGAAACTATTTTGAACAAAATTTGTAATATTTATGTGTTTTAATATAAAAATTAAAACTTTCAAATGTTATAATTTCGTAAATAATTGAAATAGGACATATGTTCATTAACATTTTTTTTGGTAACTGGATTAGCTATCATATGTTTCAAAGTTTGGTGGTGAGCTAATAAATCACCCTGTATAAATCACAAGAACGGTTAATCCAAACCCCGGTTAAATGGTTCACAAATATAATTGGCACTTTACTATACTGCCATTCAGGTCATGAGACACGCAAGGCGTATTTAAATTTATTCTTCATTAAAATTCTTGGCTGCCCCTCAAATATCTTTCATTTTCAGTTCGGAACCTTCAGCAATAACATGAGTAACAAAAAATGTTGCTTGTTTGTTTAAAATTTCCATAACTTCGTTCTGATTTAATAACATCAAATCTATTTCTGAATTCTTTTCATTTATTTTTTCCAGTGGTAATAGTAAATGATAAATTTATAGATGCCCAGCACCTTTTATGACCATGGTAGCGGAAATTAAATTAAAATAGGAAACCAATTCACTTAGATAGCTCAATGTTGCGCCATTAGAAAACTACTTAAGTAGTATAGTTTAACATAAACTCTAACATATATGTGTATAATTCTAAGTAATCAAACGATTCAATTAATTTTTAACGACTTTTAACATTTTTTAGCTTTATCCAATCGTTATTCATTCTTTATATCACGTAACAGTTAAATAACGAGATTTTGTACGTGTCTTTATAACAAACAATAAAGAATAAAATAAATGTGTGTAGGTGTAAATTCGTTTTTATTTGATTTCTTGTGCATGTATATTTTAGTTCAATTTAAACTTCTTTTGAAATGAATTTTTTGTTGATTTTATTAGTTTTAATATTCAATGTAAATGGGTAAGTAATACATATAACAATTATAAACAAAAACTAGTAAATATTAAGTTTTCATAGGAATAATGAAAAGTTTACTAATCCTTGGGTGTGGTTTTGTAACACAAAAGGAAATAAATGTCAAAGAGAATTAAAAATTCAAATATCTAATCAAACAACATTCAATTCTCTTGAATTATGTAGATTGGTATGTGGAAAATATGCTGGGTTATGGCCTAAACCAACGTATTCAACAAAATTATCTAAAGATTTAATTCAAATACACCCAAAGTAACTTTGATTTTAAAATTTTTCTTTGTAATCATCACAAACATAATTATTTTCAGAAATATTAAATTTATAAATTTAAATATTCCCGAAGATACAAACAACCTTCTTAAAGAAATGCAAAATATTTTTATGGAAAACTCTAATTTAAAATGTACCACCTGTGAATACACTGAAAACGTCGTAAAAATTAACTTTGATTTTAACGAAACCGACTTAATAAATTTGAACCCCAAAATTAACGAAAATTATGAATTAAAAATTTTCACAGAAATCCCTATAGTTTACGTTAACATTTCAGCAGAAAATATTTTTGGCATCAGACATGGTTTAGAAACACTTTCACAATTAATTGCAGTGAACACCACATCTAATTATAATATTTTAAGTATGATTTCTCAAGGTTTAATTAAAGATGGTCCAAAATTCCATCATCGCGGATTATTAATCGATACCTCAAGACATTATTTGAAACTGTCGACGATTAAAAAGCAAATAGATGGTTTAAGGATGAATAAAATGAATGTTCTTCATTGGCATGTAACTGATTCTCATAGTTTTCCAATGTTATTGCCAAATGTACCACAATTAGCTCAATATGGAGCATATTCCAACGACAAAGTTTATACTTTAAATGATATCGAAGAAATTATTAAATATGGAAAAACTAGGGGAGTTAGAATTATCTTAGAAATAGATACTCCTTCACATGCCGGAAACGGTTGGCAATTTGGCGAATTTGAAGTTGAAAAAAATCTTGGAGAATTAGCAACGTGCTTAAATTATTTTCCTTATAATTTATATTGTTTGCAACCTCCATGTGGACAGATAAATCCAATGAATGATAACGTTTATGTTATTTTGGAGAAATTGTTTAGGGATATTGGAAAAGTTTATGAAAATAAAGAATATTTTCATTTAGGTGGAGACGAAGTATCAATTGGTTGTTGGAAAACGAACAAAGATGTTTTTAATTATATAAAAAATTTAAATGTTTCTGATACGAGGATGGGTTATTTAACATTATGGGCTAAATATCAAAATAAAATTGTTAACATTTACAACAAAACGATTACTAATGGCAACCAAAAAGTTATTATATGGTCGAGTGGTTTGACTAGTTATAAAACAGCTAACAAATTCTTAGATAAAAACAAGTAAGTAATATTTTTTTAAATAATATATGATTATTATTTATCATAAAATATGTTTTTTCGGTTTTTATTTGTTATATGAATCGTTTCTATAAATGACTTTCTTTTTTAATTTTTAAAAACTGAATCTTTTGATAAGTTAGACAACCAATTATACAAGAAATAATTAAATCCAATAAGAAAATACCTACTTCAAAAAAACTTTGAATTAAATCAAATCTTAGATACGTAATACTAAAAGTAAATCTTTTGGAAAATTATGGGTTTATCATATACACGGTACAATCTAAAAAGTTTTGGCTACTTTATTAACGTGTAAGGTGTCACAGGGACCAGTCCTAATTATGGGAAAGTTTGTTATGTTAATTTTGCTGTAAGTAATATGTGGCGCAATGGAGGTATCTGGAGCGATCAATATTTTCAAGCGGCCTGAAGACAATTACAATGTTTGCTATGTAAAATACTTGAACGACGGTGACTAGGGCATAAAGGTGGACATAAAAAAGGTTGAGTATGTTGGTTACATTCAGAATATGTTAACGACCAGATTGGGATAGCAACGAGATGGAACTGCCTAAGTGGCAGAAAAATTAGCTATTGCAAAACTGCTATTGCCTAGTAATTAGTAGAAATGCAGATTTTGTAAAAAAGATGTTAACTGCGAATATGGGGTTTGTACTTTCATGTACTGTTAAGTGATACAAAACCACCAGTGGTATTCTACATGATGCAAATATAACGCGATACAACCCAAGAAATAAGTTTGATCTAAACCAGAATTGCTGAAATAATATTTGAAAGGCAAAAATTAAAATATCAATAAGTTTTTTAATAATGTAGTTTGAACATATATTCCAAAGAAGATAAAAATCGATGAAAATTGCAACAGCGAAAATTTTATCAAAACTTCAAATATTGTTATCTAAAAAACTAAAAGTTATTTTTCAAAACGGGTTGGTTTATTGGAAAGAGAACACTTTTATTAACACTTTGGGAAATTTTCATACTCATATTCCAAGAACTGGATTTTATAATAATTTTTAAAACGTAATCGGCGAAAATTGCAAAATTCGAAAAGATTGTCGATTACTTTAAAAATGTATTTCTCAAGAGCTGAAAGTGATTTTACAAAACGGCTTGTTGCATTAAAAAGAGGATACTTTAATTACTAATTGGTGATATTTCCAGAAGGATCCTTCAAGAAATTAATTTTATAGCGAATTTTGCAAGTTATCGATGAAAATTGCAATATCGAAAATGTTATCAAAATTTCAAATATCATTTTCTCAAAAACTAAATGTTATTTTTCAAAACGGGTTTGTTCATTGGAAAGAGGACACTTTTATTAACACTTTGGGAAATTTGCATACTCCTATTCCAAGAACTGGATTTTATACGAATTTTTAAAGCTTAATCGGTGAAAATTGCAAAATTCGAAAGAAATGTCGATTATTTAAAAAATTTATTTCTCAAGAACTGAAAGTGATTCTTCAAAACGACTTGTTGCATTAAAAAGAGGATAGTTTAATTAATAATTGGTGATATTTCCAGAAGGATCCTTCAAGAAATTAATTTTATAGCGAATTTTGCAAGTTATCGATGAAAATTGTAATATCGAAAATGTTATCAAAATTTCAAATATCATTTTCTCAAACAGTTTTTAACTAAATGTTATTTTTCAAAACGGGTTTGTTCATTGGAAAGAGAACACTTTTATTAACACTTTGGGATTTTTTTATTCTTATTTTCCGAGCTGTGTTTTTTATGGGTTTTTTTAACTTTTTCTGGGCGCATTTTGCAATTTTCCAAAGTTTTGTCGATTATTTCAAACATTTATTGCCGGATGTTCGTTCCACCACTTAGTATGCAAGAGTTATTAGTACATATATTTTTTCTATATTACACAGTTACCAACACATTTAGAACCTAAAACCCTTGTCATAACAGCTTTTTACACCAGTAAAAACAGTAAATAACAAAAAAATTATAACTAGTTTTTTTGAATAACACTATGAAATTGTTTACAAAAAAACTTTAAAGACTAAAAACAGAACTTTTAGTTTCTAGTTATATGAGAAAACATGATCTTTTGTATAAAAACAAATCCAAATTGATATTTGTTATAGAACAGCAGAAAAGGGTTGTATTGGTTTGGGCTATTATAACTTTTTAATTCTCATGCTGATGGCACAACATTGCAGAAACAAGCAAAAAAGACAAGTTGCTGTGAAAATAATATTTTAATACCAACTTTAATAGCCGAAAATGGTAACACTAGGCATTAACACTAAGTACATCACATACATATATACCCACTAAGTATATATGTATGTGATGTACAATTGTTGGTAATCTATACACGGTCCACAATTTTTAGGTTTGTGTGTGGGGAGAATACGTAGATGATATTAACATAGAAACGAAGATTCGGCCAAGAGCTGCCGCTATTGCTGAAAGATTATGGACTAATTCTAAAAGAGATCGTAGCAAAGATGTGGAACATCGATTTTATTTACTTGTTGGTATTCTGATACCAGCTCATCCCATTAATTCATGACTGTTGTAGTTCAATATTTAATTTGAACCAAGTCAAGCAGTATGATAATTTGGACAAAAATCTTCCTGTCGTCGCCAAAAACTAAAATTTTAAATGCCAAAACCAGAAATGAATGTCATTGAGATGAGAAAGAAGAGTGGGTTAGATAACTATCCCGAGGCACTCTACAAGAAGTGTCGCTAAATGAAAAATAGTAATTATTGATGCATAATTATGAAAGGATTTCATCTGTTAACAAATTTTCTACAAGTGGAAGAAAACCAGAAAATGTCTGGAATATGAAGATATTGCAACTGATCAAATTTTTAAGCAGTTTGAGCACACTTACAACGTTCGCTATGTCAAATACTTGAGTGACGGTTTCTCCAAGGCCTACCAAACAGTTTATGATGAAGAGATGAACACAAAAAGAATTGAATATGTTGACTACATTCAGAAAAGATTGAGGCGCAAATTGAGCTAGCTCAAGGAAAATGCCAAAAAAACAACCAGACGAGACTCTCTACATAGCAGAAAGTTTGACTCTGACTCGTTCAGTTTATTACACTTCGAGTAATAACAGATTAAAACATTTTACTGGAACAGTCGTTTTTTGCTGTTTCCAAAAAACTATGTTTTTAGTATGCTTAAGTAAATATCTCAGAACCTGTTAGTGCTATCTAAGTAAATTTTCTCCATTATAAACTTATCAATAAATACATTTCTTTATATAAAGCTTCCTTCGATGTAGAAGAGAAAAATATATGAAATATGCAGTTGGTTGGGTATGGACCTGCTTCATTCCTGAGTTGTTCAGAAAGGATTCAATCAAAATGATGTCACGGATATTCTGGTTGCTCTCCACTATTTGAGCACAATATATCACTTTACCGGGTTAGTCATGGTAGATTTTGGAATTGTAGTGTTCGAATTGTCACATGAAATGATTTATCATCGCCTACAATTCACGTGTCAGTATGAGCAGAGAGTGAGCAAAAGGTGTATAGTAGATATTACATCCCCTACACTTCCACTTTTTAAAACTTTTTAAGAATATAGAAAGAGTTTTTGAGTGTAATTGTCAGAAATAAAATCAACAGAGGTTATTCAACCAACATAAACATCTAATTCTTTTAATTAATTTTAGCTTCAATTTGTTTTATAAGTTGCTTCTTAATACTTATAAATAAAATCTCAACGACTAATTTTAAATGTATTTATTATTCAAAAGGTACATAATTCAAACTTGGGTTCCAAAAGGTTCAAAATTACCAAATTACTTACTTAAAAGTGGATTTGAAGTTATCATCTCCCCCAAAAACTATTGGTATTTAGATCACGGAATTAGATCAAAAACAAGATATTCCACATGGAGACAAATCTTTGCGAATAAGTTACCAAAACACAAAAACGTTTTAGGCGGTGAGGTAACGCACAATTTTTTTACAAAATCAAGAACAATCTTAATAAAAATCTATTTCTTTTTAATTTTTAGGTTTGTTTGTGGGGAGAATACGTAGATGATATTAATATAGAAACGAAGATTTGGCCAAGAGCTGCCGCTGTTGCTGAAAGATTATGGACTAATTCTAAAAGAGATCGTAGTAAAGATGTGGAACATCGATTTTATTTGCATCGAGAAAGGTTGGTTGCAAATCAAATCGGAGCTGAACCCGTTGCACCTGAATGGTGTGTACAAAATGAAGGAAAATGTTGAAAAAAAATATATGTGAAAGGAGAAGAAAAATTTACTGGGAAATTTTTTTGAAAACTTCTTCTAAAACTGATAACGAAAAATCGACGTCTTCTTTAGTAACACACATCGGTGGTTTTATTCTTAAAACCTTAAATTAAAAAAAAATGTAAAAATTAAGTTATAACTTGTATTTTTTTTACTTACATTTCCATAAATACCCCCTTTCCCAAGAATAACTCCCATATTAAGAGATTCATCCAAAACTTGTAAAGATTTTTTCCGATCTAAAGGTTCTTTAGTTCCAGGATTAACCAATTCAACTCCAATCATTAATCCTTTTCCTCTAACATCACCAATTACTGGGTATTTCTCTGATAATTTTTCAAGTTCTAATAAGAAGTAAGTTCCAACTTTTTTAGAATTTTCTTGTAATTTTTCTTCTTCAATTACCTATTTAAAAATAAATTTATATCAATACTTTTTAGAATAGATAAATTAATTTAAACAAATAAATACATCTAAAACTGCAATTCCAACAGCTGAAGCAACAGGATTTCCGCCAAAAGTGTTAAAATGTCCTGATTTGGTTAAAGCTTTCGCTATATCCGGCGTAGTAACAACAGCGGCTAATGGATAACCATTTCCAATTCCTTTAGCCATTGTTACGATATCCGGAGTAATTCCGTGAGCTTCAAAACCCCAGAAATGATCTCCGGTTCGTCCAAATCCAGCTTGGACTTCATCGGAAACAAAAAGACCGCCATATTCTTTAACCAATTTATAAGCCCCTTTAATATAATTTTTAGGAAATTGAACAACACCGCCCAATCCTTGGATTGACTCGGCAAACATAGCAGCAACATGACCACTTGCTAAATTGTATGTGAAAAATTGCGATAGTTGTTGTAAATAATTATCTCCAGCTTTGCATTCGTTTGGGGAGCAATCACAGGTTCTTTTTGTTTGAACGGGGCTATCTCTGCAATGTGATCCACCCCAAAGACCTGTATAAACATCAGGATTCATCACCTACAAAAAATTATTTTATTTGCAAAAAAATCGTATTAATTAAGTTATATTTACATGATGAATTCCTGGTGGTTGAGGAATTGAATATCTATAAGAAGGCATTGATGTTAATCCCATCGTTTGTGGACTCATTCCATGATAAGCATTCATCAAAGATAAAATTTCAAAATTATTAGTATAAACTCTTGCCATTAGCATTGCCAAATCGTTTGCTTCTGATCCACTGTTAACGAAATAAACCACTTTTAAATTTCCCGGCATTTTATCAGCTAATCTTGAAGCGTATTCATGAAGCTTTGGATGGTAATAAATGTTCGAGACATGCGTTAAGGTTTCTAATTGTTTTATAGTAGCTTCGTTAACTTTTCTAAAAATATTATTAATTTAAAATTTGAAAATGTGTGTTTTGATGGGATAATTTTACGGATGACAATGTCCTACGGAAACTGTACATATTCCACCGAAGAGATCTAAATATCGTTTTCCATTAATATCAAATAACCATTGCTTATAACCTTGGTTTAAAGCAAGAGGTTTACTGTAAAAAGTTGTTAATGCTGGATTCAGTTTTGTTTGGCGTATATTTTGGAGTTGCTCATATGAAGGACCCTATAAAAAAGATAGTGATAAAATTTAGTTTTAATTAGTGGTGGAACGGATATTCGGCAACTATCCGGTGTCCGGCCTATCCGCAATTTTTTTAAATCCGGCCGGATACCGGATAGTTACCAAATATCTGGCTTTGACCGGATATTTGGTAACTAGTTTTCTTCTCTTCGCTTGTAATTCATCATCACATTCATTACTAAAAGAACTGTCGCTGTTATCACTTGCAATTATTAATTAAAGTATCCTCTTTTTAATGCATCAAGCCGTTTTGAAAAATCGCTTTTAGTTTTTGAGAAATAAATTTTTGAAGTGAACGACAATTTTATCGAATTTTACAATTTTCGCCGATTAAGTTTTAAAAATTCGTATAAAATCCACTTCTTGGAATATGAGTACGAAAATTTCCAAAAGTGTTAATAAGAGTGTCCTCTTTCCAATGAATTAACACGTTTTGAAAAATAACTTTTAGTTTTTGAGAAAACAATATTTGAAGTTTTGATAAAATTTTCGATGTTGCAATTTTCATCGATAATTTTCAAAATTCGCTATAAAATTAATTTCTTGAAGGATCCTTGTGGAAATATCACCAATTATTAATTAAAGTATCCTCTTTTTAATGCAAAAAGCCGTTTTGAAAAATCACTTTTAGTTCTTGAGAAATAAATTTTTGAAATGATCGACAATTTTTTCGAATTTTGCAATTTTCGCCGATTAAGTTTTAAAAATTCGTATAAAATCCATTTCTTGGAATATGAGTATGAAAATTTCCCAAAGTGTTAATAAAAGTGTCCTCTTTCCAATGAACCAACCCGTTTTGAAAAATAACTTTTAGTTTTTGAGAAAACAATATTTGAAGTTTTGATAAAATTTTCGATGTTGCAATTTTCATCGATAATTTTCAAAATTCGCTATAAAATTAATTTCTTGAAGGATCCTTGTGGAAATATCACCAATTATTAATTAAAGTATCCTCTTTTTAATGCAAAAAGCCGTTTTGAAAAATCACTTTTAGTTCTTGAGAAATAAATTTTTGAAATGATCGACAATTTTTTCGAATTTTGCAATTTTCGCCGATTAAGTTTTAAAAATTCGTATAAAATCCATTTCTTGGAATATGAGTATGAAAATTTCCCAAAGTGTTAATAAAAGTGTCCTCTTTCCAATGAACCAACCCGTTTTGAAAAATAACTTTTAGTTTTTGAGAAAACAATATTTGAAGTTTTGATAAAATTTTCGATGTTGCAATTTTCATCGATAATTTTCAAAATTCGCTATAAAATTAATTTCTTGAAGGATCCTTGTGGAAATATCACCAATTATTAATTAAAGTATCCTCTTTTTAATGCAAAAAGCCGTTTTGAAAAATCACTTTTAGTTCTTGAGAAATAAATTTTTGAAATGATCGACAATTTTTTCGAATTTTGCAATTTTCGCCGATTAAGTTTTAAAAATTCGTATAAAATCCATTTCTTGGAATATGAGTATGAAAATTTCCCAAAGTGTTAATAAAAGTGTCCTCTTTCCAATGAACCAACACGTTTTGAAAAATAACTTTTAATTTTTGAGAAAACAATATTTGAAGTTTTGATAAAATTTTCGATGTTGCAATTTTCATCGATAATTTTCAAAATTCGCTATAAAATTCATTTCTTGAAGGATCCTTGTGGAAATATCACCAATTATTAATTAAAGTGTTCTCTTTTTAATGCAAAAAGCCGTTTTCAAAAATCACTTTTAGGTCTTGAGAAATAAATTTTTGAAATAATCGATAATTTTTTCGAATTTTTAAGTTTTGGCCGATTAAGTTTTAAGAATTCGTATAAAATCCAATTCTTGGCATATGAGTATGAATATTTCCTAAAGTGATAATAAAAGTGTCTTCGTTCCAATGAACCAACCCGTTTTGAAAAATAACTTTTAGTTTTTAAGAAAACAATATTTGAACTTTTGATAAAATTTTCAGTGTTGCAATTTTCATCGATAACTTTTAAAATTCGCTATAAAATTCATTTCTTGAAGGATCTTTGTGGAAATATCACCAATTAGTAATTAAAGTATCCTCTTTTTAGAGTTGCTTCGTTAGTTAAATCAGTATCATAAAATTTCATTTTGTATCTTGGATCCAAATAAGTTGACATCTTATCAGCTTTTTTATTAATTTCATGTTTATTCAAATATCGCAATAATGTGGCAATATGCGGTATCACTTCAGAAATGCACCAGAAATTATAACCATAATGGCCGGATAGATATGCCGGATAACCTGATATCCGGTTTTTCGCAAAATCACTATCCGTTCCATCACTAGTTTTAATGATTTAATGAGTTTGACATTTATTATTAATAAATTGTACTAAGCTAAGTTCTTGATTATTAATAAATGTAAAGGAGGTTAAGGTCAGTGTTGGAACGGAATGCTATTGAAAGTGCTTGAGAAGTTGAATGTAAGAGAAACTTGTCTTAAAACCTGACCAACCTCAAAAATTTACATATATTTTATAAGTAACTGAAGAAAGTTGCAATTTAAACGTTTTATAAAGATTTTGCTAATACATATTTTTTCATACAATTTTTATATTAAATTAAATTTTTATTTATCTGTTTATATCTTTATTATATTTTAACATCTGGTCTAGTATTTACAGAACTAGACAATCAAGCACATCAACATCTGTCTATAAACAGCACAACCTATCACAATACTAATATGGACAAACTTGTTGATCTTGAGGTCGATGGTGAGGTCGAATTCATGATGTACTCTTAATTAGAAGACGTTTATTTTATGACTTGATATGTTCCAATTGTTGAACTAATCAAATATGAAAAATACTAAAACCAAAAAAATGTTTCAAAAATGTGCAGCTTATTAAATGTAATCAATAGATTTAGTTGATCTTGAAGTTATTGTGTATCTAACTTGAACCATTGATTTACTATTAAAACTTTAAAAAAACCTTTATGTGCTTGTAATGACAACGATTGTGCTGCTGAGTATTAGAACGATTACCTAACCGTTGTCATCCACATCACAAAACAATTCAAACTGTGGACAGACGCGATGTGAAGACAAGATATATCGCTCCAAAACGTAATTGTATATTGGTGGAATAGGAAAGCTTACATAGCAATAGGATCAATAGTTTTATAAGATGTTGAAAATAATTCTATCCCGAATATATTTTTTATCAAGAATATAAAATGTACATAGTTATGGTCTTTTCCATAATAATATTTTGATAACCGATAAAGAGCATTATTGTAAGAACTCGTATTTTGAACATCGTCGAAACTTGCAAAGACGTTGGTCTTGTTATCGGTCTCTGTTTTCGCAAAAAGCTCTGAATGGTGCAACTTTTGGTAATCTTTGCGAAAAATCTTAAATCAAGGACAAGTAAAACATCTATGCAAAGAGATTTCATTGCTCCACAATTAGTAGCATCACTTGATACGTATCAGCTAAGTATGAGAGATGCTGTGTACATTCTTGAAGCCAAAAGTAATAAAATTTGCCTTTCAAAATAAAGTACCGGTACTTTATTTAAACTAAAACACTGATACATACTTCATAAATAAATAAAAAACAATTTACTGCTGTCGCATGGTTGGAAGGAAGCGAATAAGTGTTTTAGAAAGCATTTTTGAGAATGCTTTTCAGACAAAACTTAATAGAGAAATATTTATTTAAGTTTGCCGCTATCATGTGTATTTGTAGATGTTAAAATATCATTTTTTACTACCCAATTGAAAATTACAAACAAGAATAAGGTCATAGATTCAATACATTTAGATAGCAAATGTATATTATAGAAGTTTAGGACATTTATGCACAGTACTTATAACTTTGGCGATGATGCCGATCACGAAACCAAAGTAAAAGCGAATATAACCAACGAAATAATCAACTCATGGTAAACTTGATGGTCTTTTTTGTTAACTATGTTTCTGGTTTTTTATTCAACACCATAAAATTAACAGCAGTTTTCTCCACGAATGCTACTTTATGATTTAATAATGCTTTGTAAAGAAACCAGAAAGGTTTGAAGCTTAGAGCAGAAACCGATTTTAACAAAAACTAAAATTTTATTCGCTATATTTGATGAAAAAGGTCAAGATGGAATCATTTCATAACTCTAGAATCTAAGAATATAGTGAAATCCTCATAGGAAAATATTCTTTTTATGAAAGAATATGTATTAAGAAATCTTTAAGCTTTAATTTGGATTCTAATAATATATTTATCGTTTCTTAATTTCTAAGAATAAACTTATAATGATTATTTTAAAATTACCTCGTATTTAACAGGTTTGAATTCACAAATCGGCATTTCCTTCAATGATGAATAACTTCGTACATTTTTAAATCCATTACACACTAAAATTTAAATAAATTTGTTTAAACATAAATCCTTTCAATTTTTTTAATTTTTACCTTTTAAAATATTCTTCGACATGGTCTTCAAAAAACTAAAAAATCTTCTGCACAAAGAATTGAATGTCAGGACTCTGTACCTGACTACGTAATGAAATGAATGAAATTGGTAGATATTATCTTATATGCAGTTCAAGAACTACGCTCGGTACCTAACACAGTTAACAAACCAATTGCTTTTAAATTGGTCTCGTTATCGCAACAGTTGAGTTGGTAAAGTTAGTAAAGTGTGAATATCATTTACATTGGGATTAGAATGAGTTGAAGAGAGAAAAGATTATGCAATTTCTTGTTTTGCATTGAATTTATTATCTGGGTTTTCTATTACAGGTTCACCTCGAAATTTTTGATAAAATTCGACCGCCAATGCGCTTCAAAAAAAATTTAAGATTATCTTTTAGGATGTGATATGTTTTGTGAAGGTCAATTTTTACGTAATAATTATTTAATAATTTAAAGTTTTTTGTTATGAAAGTTGAATGCTAAAATTAAAATTAAATGTTATCTCGTTTAAGATTGTAGAGTGTAAATAATTTTAAGGACGCGTTTATTTATTTTACATCATTTTTAAATGAAATAAATAGAAATGGAAATTTTTGAATGTATTTTTTGCAACAATTTTATTATTTTTTAATTTATTTATCAACTAGACCAGATCACTTCTCTATTGTATAGGAGAGGTCACTTAATTAAAAAATTTTAACTTGACATTGATTTATTTATTTACTAAATCCCTAAAGATTATTACATACACAAAAAAATAGAAGTAATACAAAAAGAAACTAAAAATTTCTTGCTACTTAATTTTAGGAAAAATTAATTGTTGATCTATATTACTAATATAAAATTAATCCTAAAAATGTTTAAAAACTAAAAAAGAATATGAGATACATCACTATTTTTTTTAGATATTCATTTTAATATCTACAACAGAAACACGTCGACACCGAAAATAAAATTTCATTAAAATTATTTTGGCGCTAATCTTTCGAATGACTCGCTAAAGAAGTATCAGATTGATCGCGATCTTTGATAACACTTTCTAAGTCGGTTACAGCTGCTGATAATTGGAATAATCTTCCAAAAACATCACCCAAATCCATATCTTGATTTGTTATGATATAACAATCTAAAAAAACATTACAGAATAAACTTATTAATTTGAAAAAAAAAATTTGTATTTACCTGGTCTTTCAGTAATCAATTTTTTACAATAACTATTTAAAATTAGCACAATATCATCTTCAATTTCCATCGTTGCTTCTCTATCACTACAAAATTGTCCGCGATTATGTTTTACCAAAGATAAAGCACCTTGCCATTTTTCATTCGTAATCAATTCATATAACGAATTTTCTAATTCTTCCAGTGTGGTTGGAGCTGGAGAAGCTGCTGTCGAAGATACTGGGGTTGGAGTTCCACCATCAGCTTCAGTATCTTCAATAACTCTAGCTAAAGCGCTCTTTATTGAGATGATTTCACCAGTTACATCTTTGTACTAACAAACAAAATAATAATTTTTAATTATTTTAGAACGCAATGCAAGAAAATTTAAATTTAGAATATTTACCTGAGTGTTTTTTAAAGTTGTATTTAAAGTTGAGATCATTTTATTTGCAGCTTCTATTAATAAAAGCAATTGAAAATGTAATTTATACAACGCTTTACCTAAATCAAGTAAATAATCTTCGTTTTGATGATCTCCTTGTCCACTTAATTGTTCTAGTTTTAATGATGTTTTAACAGAATCAGAATACTAAAATTGAATCATTTTAATGTAATTTTACGCTTTATTCTACAGGGTGTCACAAATGTGGAGGCTAACTTTGCGATGTTGTAATTTTGTTCGTTTTTGTTGTATGAATATGAAATTTTGCACGGATGTTAGTCGTATTGTTGCTAAAGAATCCTCCAAAAGTCCAAAGGATTGCTTTGTGCGTTTTCAGGTCCGATATAGATCATACCACGATTTTGAGAATGAGCAAGGAGTGACTTGGAAGAGATATCTTAATCATAATCTATCGTTATTGGGAGATCAGTAGCATCGAGGATTGTACCAGAAGTGGAAGACCAAAGACTGCCCTCATCATGGTCAAGAATGACAAGATAAACCAGAATTCCAAGAGGAGTCTCATAAAAATGGTCAAAACGATAGAATTCTTGCGCAAATGGTTCAGAAAGAAATGAGCGTGGTCGCTACGTGAGATTCTGCTGAAGGAAGTGCTTCCTTGGAGCCAGTCTCACTTCAACGAATGCCCCTAGACATTCCAACAGAACTCAGCGCCTGCGCACAAGGCTAAGGTGGTTCAACAGTGGTGCCGGATCAATTTTCCAGCTATGAAATATATGATAAGTGCTTCCTTGCACCCAGTCTCACTTCACCGAATGCCCTAGACATTCCAACAGTACTCAGCGCCTGCGCACAAGGCTAAGGTGGTTCAACAGTGGTGCCGGATCAATTTTCCCGCTATGATCACCTCCACGGAGTGGGCCCCCTATTCGCCTGATTTGTCTGTTTGAGAACAAGACCTGTGCTACTCCGCATAAGAATATCGACAGTCTGAAACGAGCCCTTTAGAAGGAATGAGACGATCTCGACGACGAGTACCTCTCCGCCATGGTGGTTATATTCCCCAAGCGTCAGAAGGCCTGTGTTTACTTTGTACATTGTTTATTAACAAAATGTTTATCACCAACAACAAAAATGTATGAAAAAAACAATGATCCTGGTGTGTAGAAAACAACAAAAAAGCTAACGCAGCAGAACCAAACTATAGGCCCAATCAAAGATAGCAAACCAACCTATTTAGCGATTACATACTTGGAAAAGGTTTATCGACCTTCCACTACAATAAAAATATGGACAGAATAAATGTATTAAATTACATCGAAAATCATACACCAGTCCCTAGTGAAATAGACCAAAATCACCCGCTAAAGATAAAAAAATAATCAAACAGCTTCCGTAGCTTGTGGAAAAATGGATATTTTCCAGATAAATGGAAGCATGCCCATTATAGTTTTTCCACAACTCTAGATTACTGATAGATCTATCAAAAATCTTAGAAAAAGTCATCCAAAGCCGTCTGAAAATAGCATTATTGGCAGAAAAGACTACCCCGCCATATCAATTTGGATTCAAAATCATTCATCAATTGCAAAGGGTTATTGAAGCCATCGAAAGGGAATTTGAAGCGAAGCATTATACAGTAAAAGCTTATTTCGCCAAGCGTTCGATGAGGTGTGGCTGGACGGCTTGAAATACAAGTTCCTACATCTAAAACAGGAACGTACCAAATCAAAATAAGCAACGGACTTTCAAAAATTAAAACTATAAACAATTAAAACTATACCGGGTGTCCCTCAAAAGTGGCTCACCCCCATATTTTTCTTTATTATTGGTTATATAAGAAAACCATTTGGAATGCATAGTTAGGTCGCTAAAACGGATTATTACGACATGAAATCATGCTTTTTGTACTTCCGGTTACACGGGATGCGAGTACTAATTTCGCTATTTTTTTAAATCTACAATTTTTTTTTCTTCAGTTGGGTAGACAGAATAATTTCACATAACTTTTACTTGAAAAAATTTTCACGATCGCTTATATTTTTTTAAAAAAAAAATTATTTTCGTTATTTTTTAACGTTTTAGTACCTTCGGAAAATGTATTACAACTTTTGACGCATAGTAGCTAGGTTAATAGTACAAACTACGTTATGTGTCTCTTGATTTGCTATTCCTCGAGCAGTAATCACTGCTATGCTTTAGTTAGTGGTTCTTTTTTAATAATGGTGTAAATTAACAGTTGTATTAAATTAGTTTTAAAAGAAAAACGCTATCCAACAATTAAATTTAATTTAATTGTAAGTTTAAAAAAACTAATTTTCTAAATTTTCAAAATGCTCGCGCCTCGATTTTGACATAATTGTATCTTGCGAATTGTCGATCTACCGACTCGACGTTATTCCTGCGGAGATATTTAGGTAATACAATTTCTAACTCGATTTATTTTCTAATACCTCACGAGACCATACTGGTGTATTATACAGCTCATTTTTGATTTTACCCCATAAAAAGAATCTAAAGGTGTGAGGTCAGGTAATCTGAGAGGTTTTAACCAAAATAAAGTAAACAATCCAAGCTACAGAACATTTAGTGTAAAAGAACAAAAAATAAAGAAAAAATAAAACATCAAAAATAATTGAATTAAACTTAATTGTTTGATCGCGTTATTCTTTTAAAACTAATTTAATACAACTGTTAATTTACACCATTATTAAAAAAGAACCACTGACTAAAGCATAGCAGTGATCACTAAATCGAAAATAATTTTTTTTTCAAAAATTATAAGCGATCGTGAAAATTTTTTCAAGTAAAAGTTATGTGAAATTATACTATCAACCCAACTGAAGAAAAAAAAAATTATAGATTTAAAAAAATAGCGAAATTAGTACTCACATCCGGTATAACAGGAAGTACAAAAAGAATGATTGATTTCATGTCGTAATAATCCGTTTTAGCGACCTAACTATGCATTCCAAATGGTTTTCTTATATCACCAATAATAAAGAAAAATATGGGGGTGAGCCACTTTTGAGGGACACCCGGTAGAGGATATCGTATGCACATGTGCTAATAAATGAGAAATTGTAGTAAACCCAGCTAAAACACAATTGGATAGGTTAGAAGGAAAAGGGTATAACTGCACGCAAGGCAAAGTGGAAAAAATCGGGCTTAAAGTTTTTTTAAATCCATATGACTGTTGTAATTTTGTGATTATGTTCAATTATATATGATATGCCACCAAACAATTTTACTCATACATTACCCAAATCTGCACAAAACTCGTTTTGAGTCAGAAATGCACTTGTACAGTTTTATTTCTTACCTCTTCATTTACTTCAAATAAGTAGATTCCGAAAGCTTTCAGTGGTATTAACTAACAACGAAGCTGTAGAATGATCAAGTGAGGCTGTTAAATATCCAATTATAGACAAAGAAACACAAAAATTTATTTCTAAGGAAAGTTTACGGTGGAAAAATGTGCTTCAATGGCTGATGCAGATTACATTATATTCAGCTGAAAATAATCTGACTTTCAGAGGGTCTTCTTATAAATTATTTACTTCAAATAATAGGAAATTTTAGGGCTCGCACAATTATTGGCAAGATTTGCCCCTGTCATGAACAAGTATGTCAAATTAGCAATGAAAGGTCCATTATTGTGGCAAAAATATACAAAATGAATTGATAGAATTAATGGCATCGCAAGTTAAATCCAGAATATTATGCCACGTAAAGAATTCAAAGCATTTTGCAATCATAGCTGACTGTACTCCTGATATATGCCATAAAGAGTAACTCTCACTAACATTAAGGTGCACTGACATAACCAAGGATGTAAAGAATATTTCATTACATTTTTGGAAATTGATGAAACAAATGGTACAAGTCTCACAGAAGCTATTTTACAAATATTGAGTGATTACAATCTCAATATTAGCGGTTGCAGGGAATATGATAATGGCGGTAAAATGAAAGGAAAAAAACTTGCAAAAGGGCTTGCAAAAGAGAATTACCGACCTTAATTCGTTAGGTCGCTTTCTTTATACCATGTAAATGTCACAATTATAATTTAAACTTTTAATCTTTATTCGGAATCTTGCAAAAAATATTTACTTTATTTGCAACATCAGTAAATAGATGGAAAATGTTAAGGGAGCATTTGAAAATCTACATCCTTAAAAAATTAAGCAATACTCGCTGGGAATCCCGAAATAAAAGATAATGCTTTAGCGTCTTTGGCTGAAGATACCAAACCAAACGATTCTACGACGTCACACAAAGTGATAACACTTACAGAATAGCTGAAAGATTTTAACTTTATAACTTCTCTTATAACATGGTATGATATTCTTTTTTAAATAAATGTGGTCACCCAATATCGACTTCGTTCATATTACAGAAATGCTTAAAAAATGTTGTTCATGTTTGAAAAATTACCGACTAATAGTTAGGGTTCGAACAAGCTAATTTTTAAACCCAAAAAGTGGCTAAGACACATTAAAACCAATAAGTGTACCTAAAAAAATGGAAATGTTACTGGGAATTTTTTTGCCATAAAAGAAAAGTAAAATAAAGAACAGTTGTTAAATCATTGTTCTGCACTGCAAAAAAAACTAATACTCAACTCTAAATTGGATTAATGAAGACTTATTGTGTGACAAAATCTTGAGTCTACAACATTACCTGGAAGACTACCCATACTGAAGATTTGAATTTGATCAAAAAGCACTCATTTTAAGAGTTGTTTCCTAACATCTGGATAACTCTGCCTATTCTGCTAACAATACCAGTAACAGTTGCAACTGGAGAACGATGCCTAAGGCCGGCCAAAAGTTTAGGGCAAATGTAGGTCCTTTATGAACCTCAGTATTGCGCTAAGGTCTTGTTCCTTTATGTCGGTGGGCGTTAGGCGAACTTTACCGATAATTTTGTGTCTTAGGCGGCCTCTGGCGACGCATTCATACAGTATATGTTCAGCAGTCTCTGACTCATCGTTACAAAGTCGACAACTTTGATCCCCAGCTTGTCTAATATGGAAGAGGTGGTATTTTAGGAACGCATGGCCGGTTAGGAAATCTGAAAGCAACCTTAGATCCCCTTTGCTGAGGTATAAAACCTCTGTGACCTGGAAGTTCTTTCCAGAATAAGGCTACCTGTGAGGCCTCCCAACTATGGTATGTTAGAAACGACCAACTTCATAAGGAACTAAACATGTCAAAAATAACAGATTTAATCAAAAAACTTAGTCAAAAATTCACAAAAAATGTAAAAAAAACTGTTAAGGAGCAAGACATTATGGCCTAGGACAGAAAAACATCACAAGATTTAGTCACCAATAATATAAGTAATGAAGAGGAGATACTTGAATGATCTCAAATAGTACAGAAAAATAAAACATTAATATTATAAATTATAAAATTGTATATAACATATAAAGAGGTTGAGCCAATCAATCATGAAATGTTTTTATCAACAGATATACCGTGCTACCCGACTTTTGTGACACCCTGTAATAATTCATTTTATTACCATTGTAGTTTGATCTCGTTTATCACAAAATGTCCCCAAATGTTCTTGAACCTCAAACATTCCATAAGTTAAAGATTCCATTAATTTCTGATTATTCAATGTTGCTGTATTGAACCAAATAAAATGAACAGGAAGAATTCTTAATGACACAATATCAATCATCGAGTTTAATCTCGAACTCATTATTTTCACTGATGGGAGATTTCCCGCTTCCGGTTGTGTTAAATAAGAACAAGATTCTTGGGTGATTGAGATCGTAGAATTTGCAATACTCTAAAACAAAAAAAAATAGTTGAGTTTGGAATAATATTTACGCAAATATAAAAGATTTTTAAAACTTACCCTTATTAATTTTTGTAGTTGGTGGAAAATTTGCAAAGGATTCGCAGGATTTGACATGTTATTTTGTACATATGAAGACCAAGTTTCTAATGTGTCGCTTCTCGTCATTGATCTTAAAGGCATTAATCCAGAAAGATTTGGAGAAGCATTGCAAGGTGTTACATCTCCTAAATCACCAGCACTTGATCCACTAATTATATACAAAAAAATAACATTATCAATATTATATCCCAGAATTAAATATATCTTACCTTGTATCAGATCGTGCGCTTGAATCATGTCTGGTTCTTGTTAAGCTCAAAGAAGATGGTGGAAAAACAGCACTAACCCCTGCTGAGCTAGTTTCAAATTCTGGGGCGACAGCAATTTCATCTAAAGGAGATTCCGACCCAATTTCATCATCTGAAGATTCTTCATTACCAGTTCGCTATCATTAATAATAATTTAAAATGCAAATATATTCTTTTAAGGAAACAATAGGAATAAATAACGAAGAAAACGAAGATAAAATGCCAAGACGAAATACAAAATAAGCAAAAACGCAACTCACATTATGGTTAAAGGGACACACGTGTACCTTTCTGACGGTTAATACAGGAGTTTGTTCACTTATGCTGTCCTCTAGCTGTCGTAAACTCGGTTGTTCTTCTTCGCCTTCGCTTAAAGGTCTTCTGCGGACCCCCCAATTGAAATTATCAGTGCTTTCGCCCTAAAGACCAAAAAAATATGATGTAAATAAGATGATTTGATAGTGAAAAAAGTAAAAGATCACCTCAATACTTTCACTTTCATATTCCAAGAAATCAAAGTCCTTAAACTCCGAATTTTGCCGTTGCGTCATCTCTTCTAGATCCGCCGCTAAGATCATTATTAGCCCCCGACATTTCTTCGGTGCTTGAAGCCATGCTCGATTGTCGTTCCAAGATATCCGAGCTTTGGCTAAAGATAACCTGGAATTTCGTGTCGTTTAATTTTGATTAAAAAACTTAGGCAGAAGAGTTTTTGCAAATAAATGTAAGAATTCTTATTAATTAGCTAAATCAATCTGAAACTTATTTTGACTAAAATAATAATCCAATACATTAAAAAAAAATTTACGAAGCACAAAAAAGAAGCTACAGTGTTTTTATAGTGTAGAGTGAACTTATTTTATTTAGAGGAATAAAGTTTACTTTTCAAATAGTGTATTTACATACTTTGTGCACGTTCAGTCCGCATTGAACGTTATCGCTTGTGACAGAGAAACAAAAACACTGAAACATGCAAATAACTACCGCTAAACGAAGACTAAAATCTAATAATGAGGGGAAATCGTGTGAAAAGTGACTAAATTGTACTAATTAACTCTTTAACGCAGATCATTTCGATGTTAATAAAAAGTCTTTAATTTCGATACAAAATTGTTACTTAAGTCGAAAACCTTACCATTTTTTAAACTTATTTTATTATTATATAATTTAACTTTAAAATCATACTTATAATTCGCGGGATAAAGAATCTGATGACAAGCAAGAAGCAAAACGTAAAACCAATAATGAATCAAGAAACTGTTTAAGTAAAAATTTTATAGATTAGAATTTGTTTATTAGTTAATATCTCGAAACTAGTTAACTTTAGGTTTATGCTGGAATAATACACAGGTGTTTCATTAAAGAAAACGTAACTTTGTTTTCTAATATTTTTTTGGCTGACCCTGTATGCTTAATTTTGTCTTTATTGTAATGGATCTAAAAAAACACTAAAACTTTGTATGGTAACATTTTTCGCTATCTTACTTTTTATCAGCTCTTTCAATTAAAGCTATTTTAAAGTTGAAACCGGTAAATCCAGAATAATAGATTAGACTTCAGATGTACACTTAAAGAAGATGTATTCAGCTTTATTTAATAATCTTAAAAATGTACTTTCCAATCTGAGTTTGAACTTGAAATTAAGCAATACAATTACTTCTTTCATTGCTGCCATCTGGAGCTCTTTATGGTAAGTTTACCCTTAGATTCTAAATATTACAAAGCTCAAGTACAGTTGCTTTTCATATCCGAATGCATTTTCCTCCGCAACAATTTTTTTCATAATTTCATTCGTTTCATCCACATATGCTTACACCAAGATCAGTGTAGATGTTTTGTCAGATAACATATGGTTTTCCATGGGTAGTGCGTTGTTGTTACGAATTAAGATTTCTACAGTTGCGTCTTATAAATATCTTCTTATAACAGAACTTGGTCTATCTTGCTTCAACAGTTCAGAGCCTCGACTGTGATGCAGAACTCCAGCTTTCATACCACCTTTTCGAGGGACGTCCTGGAGATCTGGTCGCATGTGGTATTCTCTCTCTGGCGATTTTTGGCAATATGTATTCTGGCATCCTCCCGATATTCTCTCCAACTGTCTTTCGGCCATCTTATTCTGTCTCACTATGGATCGTACGACGTCCCACGTTTTTCCCTGACGTCTTGGCTTCTTATGCGATCTAGCATAAAAAAGTAGCCAGCAATTTCTCGAAGAGTTTTCATCTCAGTGGTTCTGACAAGCCTTTTGGTTGTGGTGTTTACAATCGTGTTATTTATCCTCACATTACTTTTTCTTTGTAAGTATTTGTTCTCTCTTGTGGTTTATGTTCTGATTTCTTCTTCTCAGCTTTCTATTGCTAGTGATGTTTATTCCACGTTCTTTTGCTGTTGTTAGCGGCTGCCTTTTCTGTACAGAGATTTCCATATAATACTTCTCTGCCGTTTTCTTGAATCCATCTTCAGAGATTAAGATTGCATCGTCTGTGTAGCATATGATTCTTATATACTTCTCACTCAACACTTTTCTATTCTTTGTACGTTGTATGAACTATTTTACTGGTTCCTTTCTGTTTCTCAATAAATTCCATACTTTTTCTCTGATCACCACATCCCCTCCCTATATCTTTCGAAACATTTCCCAGCAGCGAAACGTAAAGCAGATAAATGGTCCATCCAAGTACAGTTCCTTACTTACTATACTATACTTTATATCATACATATAATAACTTTAATGACATATTTGAGATCACTAATAAATAATATTTGAATTCTAAGTAGTTTTCATAAAATTTAGTGCACTAAGTAAAGCAGCTTTTTTATAAATTTTCATATAAAACGAAAGAGAAGACCTTGACCATCTTGTAATATTAATTTCCAGAGAATTAATAATAATTTCAACTCCCAGGGAATTTATTTCTGATATCTAGAAATTTCTATAAAAATTTCAGTGTTTTCAAGGATTTTGAAACATTTCACACCATTTGCAAGTATTTCCAAGAGTATTCAGTGATTAATAAGAAAATCTAGACTTTTTTGCTATTATCCACAAACTTCTAGCACTCTTCAAAGATTTTAAGAATTTTCTATGATATCCAGAGATATAAACGGATTTTCTACTAGAAACTTTTGAAAGAATATAATTTATCGGTGGAAGTAAAAAATAAAGTACACAAAGACTAAAATTACAATTTAAAATGATTTTAAGTTTAATATTGGGATTAAGAATAAATCTCTTCCTTAATCCTTAAGCATATATTATAAGAAATTTACAAATAAAATGGTTAATTTATTCGTATACTATAATTATACTTAATAATGCCCACCAGTTTTAATAAAATTGTTATTCATAGACTTTCAATAGGACAGCTATCAGATGAAGCAAGTAAAGTAAGAAACAATGATATAACGAAATACAGTGGTTATGCTACGAAGTGTAAACGAATTTCAAGATATAGTTAAAATGCTTTTAGTGTCTTCTGATCCCTACTCTGGAATACACCATTTTCATTAGCATGAAGCACCGAAAATGCTAGGTATCTTGAACCAGAGGAAAAAGAACGCGTGAAACACCAGAAGTGGGAGGAAAAAGGAATAGGAAGGAAAAGTTTGTGATGATGAAAACGGAGATGACGAGGATGATGATCATGGTGGTAGTAACACTATGACAACAACAATGGAGAATAAAAATTAGATCTTGATGCAAGTAAAATATAATTTAAATAAAATAGCATTAATTTGCTTGTCATTTTAAATCCTGTAATCCTGTAAATATTAATTTTAGGCATATTCCTTCTCAATAATAGCATTAATCTTAATCTTGTCCAAAAATGTTGAGAATTTTTCCTTGGGCACCATACTTATTATTGTATTGCAGAAAAAACATTTATTTAGACGAATAAAAATGAAATAAAAAACTATAAATATTCTTTACATCTTTGTCGAAATATTATTTAAAACTCAATTTATCATGGTTTTGATATCACAAAACTCAAGTTTGTGCGCTAATCTCCAAACCCCGAAAATTATTTGCAAACTATAGGAAACGTCACAATATTAGGCCGCCAAACTTTAGCTCAACAAATATCGCACATATACCTCACTTGCCCTTGAAAGAAAAAGCTATCATATGGTAATAGTTTAACTGAAATGAAGGAATGATATCCTGCAGCGTCATAAAAATCTAAAAATTATTCTGCGCTTCCAATAAATAAGTTTTCTGATTATGATGTGAATAACTCTTACCGACTCCTCCATATAAAGAATAAAATAAAAAAATTAAAAAGAATGCTATCCAAAACAAGAATCATCACCAACTATAATTGTTAATATTTACATTTTTGCAAACAATACATATTTTTCCACATCCAACTGCGTTAAAGAGTTAAAAGACACTTGCAATAGTGATTATAAAGTTACATTTTAAAAATTCTGCCTATTTTAAGCCGTGAGAATCATAGAAAACCGTCCTATCGTTTTTTTTCTTATTATTATAATAAAATTAAAAATTTTGCAGGTGGAATAAACACAGTAGAAAACTTTCCTTTTTTTATGGGAATACATTTTATTATTTACCTTCGAATAAATTGTGTTTATCATATCATCCTAGAGGAAAAGATAATATTTTAAAAGACGAATTTGGACTTTGGGAAGTTAAAAACATACTAAAGGAACACAAAATTCATGCTAGATATCTTCAAAATTCTTCACATCTCAATTAATTTAATTCAAAAATATTCAAAGATTAGTTTTATACACAACTTACTGTGTGCAGTTTGTTCTTAAATTATAAATAATGTAAATCTTAATACTCACTGAAGGACTTTTTGGTAAACCAACACGTTGACCACAAGTTGTTAGTAAATTTACTAAACATTCTCTAACACGACCCTAAAAATATAAAAATATTTTGATTAATTAATTAATTAATAATTTTTTTAAGTAGAATTTATTTACTTGAGACATCCAAGGTCTTTTCCACCCAGAAAATGGTGCTGTATCAGCTGGACTTAACGAACAAGATCTTCTTGGAGAAGCCACAGTTTTCGATTGAACGTTTTCTTCCGTTTTTGACAAAAATCTTCTACCAATAACAGGAGTTTGGGACATATCAAAAGTGAAATCCATTGTCCTGCCTTTAATAATACACATCAATTGAAACCCGAAATTATTATTTTTTCTTACCTGGTAATTCCTTCTTCCCAAAAACATCAATTTCTGAAAACGACGGGTGAGGAGTAGTTGTTGTTAAGGTACTTTCCCAATGGGAATGTAAAGAAGTTGGAGGTGCCACAAGACTGCTACTTCTTGTAACAACCAATTTTAATATTTTTAGAGATTCCTTCCAATGAGCACCTTCGATATATTTCACAATTACTCTTAGTAAATCTGCGTTAATTGGTTGAGAAGCTGCCGAAGCTAAATCGACGTAATGTAACATACAGTGTAAAATGTTTAAAACGGATTGTTGGAGATTATTCGGCCCTTTTTCCAACACCTCCACCAAAAATGTTAACATTGGCAAGCTTAAATAGGAATACGTGTCGTATAAATATTTAACAACGCATTTTGTCCATTGAAAACTTTCTTTGCAAAATGTTCTTCTACTATAGAGATTCATAACAGTTCCTAAATTTTCTAGTTTTTTACTTTTCTCTATACTAACCTAAATCAAAAATATTAAAACAAAACGATTTATGAATTATATTTTTAACTTACTTGTGCAATATTTTCAGCACTTCTTATACACAACTCGTTAGCATCCTCATAATTTAAAAGCATATATGGTAATAATCCTATAACATTCATTGGAAATGCAATACTTTGAGTTGGATCAACAACTACGAGATCTAATAATGGAGTGAATTGGGAAAGTAATGCCACAACTGGTTCATAAATATTAGGATGTGTACAACCCTTAAAATAAAATTTCAAATGATTAGAAAACACTTGATTAGAATTTTAAAACTTTACCTTTAATAAAAGTGCATGTACCCCTGGAAAAGAAGTCCACCTCAATTGTGACTGTAATTTTTCAACTTTATCTCTAGCGTCTGGCCTATCAAGAGGTAATCTATGCATAACTCGTCCTAATAATCTCAAAGAAAGAAGAAATTCGTGTTCATAATCAGATTCTAATAAAGAAACTGATAACCAAAATAACTGAGCTAAAATCGTCATTTTATCATCTTGAGTAGCGGAATCTCCTAATAACTTTAAACTTTGCGCCGATCTAGATCTGGATAAATTCGAACAATATTTCCCAATGTTATTTTGTCTCCCGTCTCCTTCAACACCCCCAAGACGATTTCTTAATTCTTTTGGATCAGTTGCTGGTGATCCAGATGTTTTTCTTAAACAATACGAAACTGAATAGCTTGTACTTCTTGCGTGACCAACTTGGTTTAAGTAAGGAAAAGGGGGTGCTCCATCTCCATACATTAAATGAGCTCCCGTTCGTTTGCAAAGAGCGTTTTCTTTATTATTTAAATTAGGGGTGGATTTAAAGAAATCTCTCATATAATCTAAAGGTCGAAAATCGGACTCTAAAGAATCTACAGCCGCTTCAAGAGTAAGAAGCAACTCGGTGACATATCCTTGCATATCTTCACCTTGCTCAGCAACCGTTTCCACTAAACGACTTAAAATATCACTTAACATTCTTGATGTAATTGGAACGCGAAGCGATCGAAATATTTGTAATGATCTCCCGGCGTAGTGTCTCGATGAACAACTCAATCCGAGTTGAAGAGCCGTTTGTGCCCAACGCTCATTAATATGAGCGTTTGGTAAAGAATCTTGAAAAACTCTTAAAACGTGTTGAAGGAAAATGTCGATTTGTTCAGCGCTTCGAATTTGCCAAACTTTTGCGGTGATATCCTCGTAATTCCAAAGTGGTAAATTTTGTCTTGCTGCCAAAAAATCAATCATTGATTTTATTACTTCTTGTATAGGCATATTTGGGCCAATTTCCGGCCCTTGCCATGTTGCGCTATCTTCCGGAGTAACAATAACAGGAGGCGGAACAGCTTTATCTTCGATTATCGTTGAAGTTGTGGTTGAGGTTGATGATGATGATGATCCTAAAGAAATCGTGGCTGCGGTGTTAGTTGTTTCTAAAAGATTTGTTAATGAAATAGGTCCTTGAAGGTAACTATCAAAAGTTGCATCAGCATCTAAAAAATTTTTTTGTAAAGATGTTTTAAAATAATAATGTTTTTATAAACCTGTAAAAACATGATTTATCACAGGTAATTGTGGAACGGGCAATCCTAATTTAAGCTCATTCGTTTTGCTGTTAAGTAAAACGTGAGCTACCATAAGATGATCGTTATGTTGTGCTTGAACTATCAATAAATTTAGTAATAATTGCTTGCAATGTTGATGAACTAAGAATCTTGTGTGATCCATCCCAAGGAATAGAATGTGTAGCATTAAAGGAACGTGTACTGTCCAGTCTAATTCAACCCCATCAACGACGACATCACAAAGTAACATCACCGCGACATTACATCTAAATTAATTTTATTAATTTAAATTAATTAATTTGATTCTTTTTTTATTTTTACCTGTGGAATCCTGAAATCGGTTGGGAACTATCAGGTAGATATTCAGTTAAAGGCGCAAAATAACCACCATATTCAGGCATTGGTAATGGGTGAGGTTGAGGAATTGAAATATCAATTTTTTCAGTGGTTGCTGTTGGTCGTGATAAAGAAAAAATGTCTTCTGATGCCTAAAACGAAAATTTGTTGTTATAAATCAATTAAGGAAAACAAAACAGATTATAACATCATCCGTTGTTGGTGTGCAAAGATCTTCTGATATATTTCCAGCTGTGACATTTCGACTTTTACTTGCACTAAAATCGGGTAAGCTTTTATCGGGTTTGGGTGTTCCAGATTTTAAAGGATCTTCACCGCTATGTCTTTTTGTGTGAATAGTTCCTTTCTCTACCACTGCAAATAAATATTAATATGTTAATATTGCGTCATTTTAGTACAGTAAAACCTCGGTATAACGGACAAAATATTCTTAAGTCATACTTTTAATATTATCTATTTAACACATCAGTGTTTTTAACATAAAAATGGTGCGTTTAACATAAAAATTATCCAAATAATACTTAGGGGGAATAAGTAGAGGGAAGCCATATGACGATTTTTGACCTTGACCATATTTTGAAGGTAATATGAAGGTCACGACCAATTTTTTAAATGACACTCTATATTTTTGATTTCCAAATCTGAATCTATGGATAAAAGTAAACTAATTTAAAAAAGAATGTGTTAAATCAGGTGACCTGGCAGGCCAGGAAATCGGACCACCCCTTCCAATCCACCGTTTAGAATAATCCCGTTTTAAAGCTTTACAGGCAATTTGTGAAAAATGTGCTGGACGCCTATCATTTTGCATCCACATATTTTGTCTTTGTTCCACACTCAAATCTTCTAGTAATATTAGTAAGGCATCATCTAAAAAATTTCGGTACTTCTCCACATTCAGTACATCATCAATAAAGTATGGACTGATCAATTTATCACCGATTATGCCACACCAAACATTAACCGACCAAGGGCGTTAATGTTCTACTTCACATAACCATCTCGAATTTTAAACACTTCAATAGTGCATGTTTTGTCTATTGAGTAGTCCGTGTTTGTAAAAATAGACTCATCCGAGAATAGCACGTTTCTTGTGCCCATTGACACAATATTTGTCGATTTTGAAAATCACCTCCATGAAGCTGTTGATGCATGACATGTGGTATGGGTGATAGTTGTAGCTACGAGTTCTTTTTCTTGCTTCCACATTTCCAGTGATAAGCAAGGGTCACACTAGGCTGCTTGCCACCTGTTACTGATGAGCAGCGGGTAATAGCATCAACAAGCCTGCCTGCCACTACTCGCCATTTCGTTTGTAGGTCCACGTAAACAATTAATTAAGCAGTTGTTAAGGGTGGGTTAACAGAACAGACATCGAACAAAAACAAAGGACCACGTGGCATGCGCTGCTTGAGTGATCAGACTGCGCTGCTCGCTAATAGGAGTGAGAACGAGTGAGTCACGTGACCTGCTAGTCGCCACTGCCTGGCTACCAAAATAGAACATGTTTAATTTCACCAGCCGCTGACAAATAATATAATTCGCCGGCAGCCGGCGGCATAAAATTCGCCGCCAGCCGGCTCATACCAAGCTGATTGATGGCTGACAGTAGAGGCTTCCACAACTCGCGGCTGGCAAGCAGCCTAGTGTGACCCGCGCTTTGTGAAATCATTCGCAACTCTGTAAACGGCACTTCTCGAAGGCCTATTTCGACCAGGAAAACGCTCTCGATAAGCTATGCTATCAGCAACTTTTCTGCCACTTTCTACGTAAATAAAAATCATTTCGACTTTTTCTGCCACACTTAGAGTATCCATGATTTAATGACTTAGTAACACTTTGCCTTGATGTAAAACGATGGAATTATTTCAGGATTTGTTGCCAAGCAGCTTTTATGCTAATTTAGTTTTACCCGCCACATTTTAAAAGAAGGAAATGCCGACATATGCTTTTATGTTATTATTTTAAACAGGGAGAATAAAAAGTCTAGAACACCTAAAATATCTTCAAAACGAATTTCTTTTTGAAAGAATCCTTTCAGGTGTCAAGGACTATAATAAATTCGCGATGGCATGACTTATCGAAATAATACGAGTGGCTTTGCTTTGTTCGTAGCTATGGTTGCATTGATATTTTTACAAACAAATAAATGAATAGTTGTTTAAAATACAAAATTACTTTAATGTGACGTTAGTTAAATCAAATTTTCTTCGAAAATACATAATTCTACTGTTAATTTCAAGAAATCTTCTAAAAAATGTCTCTTTCTGAGAAAGATAGAATTGAAATTCTCATGATGTGTGCTTACGGAGATGTGAGAAGAACCACTGTGGAAGTCTGCGCACTTTTTAATGAAGTACATAACGATCGTCCAGCAATATCACGATCCACGGTGAGTAAAATTCTTGCTAAATACAGAGATCATGGGCATGTGTGCTACTTGCCAAGATCTGGTCGTCCCACAATCAATGAAGATGCGCAACTTGAAATTTTGTTAAGAGTTGCTGATAATCCTCTAAGAAAAGTTAATGTTTGGGCTGATATAGTGAGGAACAGAATATTGGAACCATTTTCTTTTGATGAAAAGCTAGATATTTGCAATTTTTACAGGAAGATGTGGTTCCAACACTAATAGCGATATACCCAGATGGAGATCAACCGGACAAATTCGATAAACAACTATGGTTTCAGCAGGACGGCGCACCACGTCATTATGCCCTTCCCGTTCGAACGTATTTGGATGATATTTTTCCACAAAAATAGATAGGTCGACGTGGGTTTTTAGAATGGCCACCTCGTTCCCCAGACTTAACTCCCCTGGATTTCTTTTTATGGGGTCATTTAAAGAGTAAGGTATACGTTAATAAACCCGCGAACATCGACGATTTAAAGGTACGAATTCGGGACAAGATAAGAAAAATTGAACCGGACATAATTGATAGAGTGCAAGATGAGTTTATTTTTAAGTTAGGGCACTGTCAAACAGTAAATGGACAACAGTTTGAGTATCTTATTCACTGACATTTTCTGTTTTGTTTTGCATGTAAATCAATTTTTCTGCTTGACACCTGCTTTGACACCTAAAGTTTCTTTGAAAGAATCCTTCTTTCAAAAAAAACTTCGTTTAGAAGATATTTCAGGTGTTCCAAACTTTTTATTCACCTGTATATGCAGAAGTTTTTTATGCCTTATTTTCTTATGACATATGAAATGGCCAAGGCGAACAAAGGTCGGAACCTTTTAGACCTCCTTCCAATGGAACCCAGGTTACCCGATGTAGCTGTTCTGAATTTTTTTTGTTGAGTGTTCTTAAATAGTCTTCCAAGAGTTACTCTTGTCCATAGGTTTATATTTTGCAATGAAAAATATAGAGCGCCATTTAAAAAATTGGTCGAGACCTTCATATTACCTTCAAAATAAGGTCAAGATCAAAAATGATATCGTCATACCTTCGTACAGAACAACTTTTATTTGCATAATTTTTCTGTTAAATGAACCGTTTTGGAGATATTCGCTTGCGTTAAGTTAAATGGGCCACCCTGTATAAATGTTAGGGCTCATAAAGAAAATCCAACTCTGATTATTCCCAAATGGGGCCGTTACAATTTTTTTAATTGATAATTTTCTTCGATAGTTTAGCAAAATTGAAGACTTCTATAATTTTTTATTTTTCAAACTGGGCTTTAGTTTTTCCAAAAAAAATAATGAAAATCTGAAAAAACTTTGAAGACGTTACAGTCGTTAAAAAAAAAACCGTGGTTGAAATAAACATCCATAAAAGGTGCATGAACGAGATGCCACGAGAATCTTATGCGATAGAAGAAGAGAATCCGCATGATGCACGTTTGTGTCTTCTTGATCTTACGTGAAAACTTCGTAAACGTTTTTTATAAAGGGGATTTTGAATTTTAATATTAATTATTGCAAAAATTGAACAATCTGAAAATGTTACCCGTCCTTCTTTTTAGATGGTTTATCGATTTTTTGAAAGACGGTCTTTCTATTCGATTGAGGGTAATGGCCCCATTGCTCTATTGTTCATAGATACAGGCTAGGTATTGCCCGAGTTGTCTGTATGATGTATAAATCATGGACAGAGTTCTAGTTTTAATTGTTATTCAGCGCTGACGTCACGAACGGTCCTTCGAGCTGTGCATCTGTTGTAGCAGTCATCTTAGATTCTACCGTTCTTGGTATAAATACAAAGTATTTCTGTAAGTCGCAGCGTAATTTTAATCATAAATACTATAGTGAAAATGATGATGATTCGTGTAAATTTTTTTGATCTAAACCCATAAATGGCTAAGATATTCAATGGCCTTCAAAGTTAAGAAATTTTTAAACATTTTCTTAAATATTTTCAATATGGTTTGTTTTAGAAAGATAAAATTTGATAAACAGTGCAATGTTATGAGAAATCGTTTAAGATCACTTTTGAATATATAATATTACTCAACATAGCATGCAATCTGGATTTTCTTCAGTACAATTATTCTTCAACATTTCTCAAATGAATGGTTATCTATAAATAGTACTTTTTATAAAAACGCAGTTCATTTTTCCATCATAGTATGGTAACACTGTACTTGCAACGGACGATCTGCAATTTTTTAATTCTTGTACTCTCGACGGATTAGACCAAAAATTGTTGCACGAATCGTCATCATTTTGCCTCTAATATTTGTAATTAAAATTATGCCACGATTTACAGAAACACCTGTATAAAGCCAAGAAGACTGAACGCAACGGTGTGGATAGCTGTCCGAATTTGTGTTCATTAAAATTATTCATATAACGAATTTTAGCAAGAACGGACACTCCGTTATATCGAGGTTTAACTGTAATAAAAAAAAATTAAATTCGATTTCTTACCTAAATCATTTCTGCTATTATTATCAGATTGGCCAGCAACTCCTCCTGTACCATCAGAATGACTTGAAGCTTTTCTCATTACAGTTAATCTATAAAAAGGTGGAGTTTCCGTTCGTTCTATCAAACAATTTAAAGTTTCTACTGTTTGTAATTCAACCATCATCTCATCTAATAATCGAGCCGTTTGTACTCTGGCTAAATATAAAATAACTCGCTTTGCCTACAAAAAAAGGTTTATTTTTATTACTTAAGTTTTTATTCTAAACTTCAAATTAAAAATATTTACATAAGGTAAAAGCTCATTCGGTGCCATCCCAGATATAATTATTAAATAGCGAATGATTACTTTCATGTTATTGGGCCAAGTTGTACATAATGTGGTCCAAATTTCCTCCAGTTCTTTAGGATGATTATCACCAAACTATTTTGATTAATATTGATAAATTAAAAAGTTGTTATACAAGATTTTTTCGATTTTTACCTTAGCTGTGATATAAAAAATATTATTTAAAACCATTTCGGTTGCTTCAGCAGAACCCCAACCTTCTCTTCGTCCACCAGGTCTTCCACTTTCATTCGTGATCTATAAATTAGGAGTTTATTAAAATCTCCAACATCGTTTTATATTTCTTTAAATTCAAACTAACCTGGTAATAAAACATTAAATTTGTCGGTGGAACATTCGGATCGACCAATTCCATGTTATGTAACCAAGGTAGTAAATATTGAAGGAGAAGTTGTCGAACTTCCGGCCTGGCAGTTTGAAAACGGTGGGTTATTTCTAGTAAAAAAAATATACATGAATATGGGAAAGGTAAAAAAATAAAATGGATGTGTTATAGTCCCGAGATCAAACAAAACGATGTGTTAATTTTAAATATTTAAAAAACATCAGTTTAATGATAATTAGTATCGAGAAATTAGGCGAATCTGCCAAGAAAAATAAAGCAAAAAAATTGCTTATTGAATTTATCGTAAAACACTAAATAAATTTATGTGGAACACAATAAAATTTTTATTTCAAAAGATATTACTCCCATCTATGAAATTTTATATCCGAATTAAAGTGAACGCACACGATGCACTCCTTTTTCACTTAGATGTACGTGTAAAAGTGTATTGATTTAAAAACTTTGTTACGAGAATTTCAAATCTGGAAATTCGATTGAAGTTGAAAAGTTCTTACCTGAGAACATTGGCATCGTTAATTCCGGATGTAGTTGAGCTAATTGTCCTGATAAATAAAATTGCGATCTACAATATGTTGTTGCCAATAAAGTATCTAAAGTGCTTCTTCCTTTATCTCCTTCAGCTGAAATTAAAGAATAATATGTTAATATATTTTATAGGGGCACCTGAATTAAATACACATGTAATAAAATCACAAAAGCTCCAATTAAATAGACGTACGCCATAACTCAGAAATTGCTTTATTTTAGTAACTTTATTTGTATTAAGTTTTGCTCATGTGTGAACTTCCATGAATAAATACAATTTTGAGATCATTTCAAATGTATAATTATTCGGATGAATCCTTAGTTGAAAGACTATTATTACAACTGTACTACCTGTAATTAGAGTATTTTCACCGTGAAGTTTTCAAAAGTAATCTATCTTTAAAGTTAAAACGGATAGTGGAGGAGATTAGAAGTCTTTCGAAGCATTTAATTCCTTGGAATCTCCGTAGAACATTGGAATTGTCTTCCCATTTACTTGATTGTTCGAAAATTCGATGTTCGTAACAGAGTTGGAGAGGTCATTTGGAACTTATTGAGATCTTTCAAAGAACTTGAAAAATTTTTAAACGAACGCGTTATAATTCTAAAAGTTATAGTAGATATTAATACATTTTCATGCCAAAGAGATGTCAACTGTAAAAATGCTATTTCCAGGCTGTTTGTAACGCCAGATATTACATTGCTTACATATCGATATACCTCGAGTCACGTTCAAAGTATCTTATTTCGCTTCAACTCTACTTTTATTAACTCGGATTTAGTGGAGTGAAAAAATGTAACGTTTATTATATTTATGCGCCACATTTATGCGTCTTGGAGTACAAAAACACGATCAACCAAATTTCAAAATTTACACTCTGTAGTTATTATCGCTAGAGGGGATTCTATTATGGTTGGAGCCCTTATCGATTAGTAATTCGAGGTTTATTTCATTGCCTTGCATCTGTATTTCTGGAATGAGTTCACAACCTGTTATGTTGCCATCATTTCTGACGAAGTAATTACACTTAATTATTATCACGATTATACTCGTTTTAAATAAACATCAAAGATGCGTTAATAGCAAAGCGATTTATCTATATGCTATATGGACTAGTTAATTTTCCGTTGGCAAATCAAGACTTATTACTTATTACCTTTAAAAAGTATGTAATGAAGAATAAGTCTCAGGACGAGTTCTTCAAAATCTATCTTAAAGAAATCTAACCTATCTTAGAACTTAGTATCGGCACATATCTCTGACCAAGCTGCACCCTGTTTGTCATATCCCTACCCGATGTTTATTCCTTGGCTATTTTACTGTCGTGGAATTTATATTCCTAACATTGTTTTATTTCTCTTAGTTGCAGGACTGGATCTTCCACATCTTTCTGCCTTATATACATATATTCCATTTCGTGAATGTTCATCTTCAACCTCCACTCCTCATATTCCTCCACTTATTTTATAACATATAATCATTGATTACCGATCTCTATCCTCATTTCTGCGCATTTTTGTCTCAAATTCTTCAAAGCTTCTTGGATGTACATTTGAAATAGATTTAGCGTGACCTTTTTGTGACATGGTTCCTGGGAATGGTTTTAAAAAAGTTTCTTTACTATAATGCACTCTCAGGATTCTTATAAATGTTTAGAATAGCGCATATATTTCTAACATCTATCATCTTTATAGAACGAAGGCTCTCTCCAGATCGACAAATACAAGATATGCCAAGATGTTCATTTTGCCATTATATCAATAGAAAGTAATGAACCCTTCCTGTGGCTGTTCCACATATAAGAAATAATCACCGGATAAACACAATTTAAAATGCCACTTCACGAGCACTTGTGTTGTTACTTTGCTATTGTGAATCATCATTTATATTTAAAATGATTTTCAAAACGCCTTTTTCATCACGTAAGTTAATAGAGCAAGTTTGCTCACCGCAAAATTGGACTCTAATTGTTTCTAAGTAAAACCCCAAGAGCGTCAAGTTTCAATCACTTTGTTCTATAATCGATACAAGTTCGTAGTTTCAGTTCAGTTAATATCACAAAGGAATTGAAAATTGTGTTTTATTAAACTTTGCAATAAAGCAAGTAACAAATATTCTATTTAGAATTAGGTTGAGATCGCGGTTAATTGAAGCTTTATTTATTTTTGGTACTTCTAGACAAAAAAGCATTTAAGCAGGCAAGGTTTTTTATTTCAAAGACAGTAAAAAGTCATTTTAGTCTCTAGTAAATGGAAAAAAATCCCGATAGTAGACAATAAATCCAATCGCAATTTCCGATTCCATGACTTGGAATTTTCCTGGATTGGGAGTAAGTCTCCATTTATATAACCATTTCAATACTTGGTTGTATAGAGTTTTAATTACGTTTAGTTATGAGTTGATTTATTCAATATTGATTTATTATAACTATATCGAATTAATCTTGGAATCTTATTCTGGCCGACAAAAGCAATCACACATCAAGAAAGGACATAATGTCATGCATGCAAATCCTAAAGAATTGAGATATTTAATAAAAATTTCTACGTAAAATATTTGCATATTCAGCGCTGGGTTTTCACCGTTAACAAGAGAAATTAGTTGTAAAAGACTCAAATCAAGTAGTAAAAGAGTAAAATCAAGTAGTAATGTGAAGAACTCTAAAGAAACAACAAAATTCTTCCGAAAATATAAACATGCAGAGTTAAAATCATCTAGAGAAATCACAGACATACTGAGACATACTAAATGGTCTACTAAATCCTCCAGCACAGATTTCAAATTCGGTAAAAAGAATTTTGTATGTAGTGTTTAATATGAAGTATGAAGCTTTTTTGAAGAAGAAAGTGAAAATTAGTTACCGCAACTTATAAGAGTTCCATGATTAAGTTGACATAGAGATAACTGCACTCTATGTAAATTTATCATATTGAATTGAGTGTCAATTTTGAATTCAAATTGGTATTCATTAGTGATGGAACGGATAGTGATTTTGCGAAAAGCCGGATACCGGATATTCGGCACTCCCTTCGACCGGATATCCGGCATATCTATCCGGCCATTATGGTTATAATTTCTAGTGCATTTATTAATTTAATTTACATTTATTAATAATCAATAACTTAGCTTAGTACAATTTATTAATAATAAATGTCAAACTCATTAAATCATTAAAACTAGTGATGGAACGGATAGTGATTTTACGAAAAGCAGGATATCCGGTTATCCGGGATATCTATCCGGCCATTATGGTTATAATTTCTGATGCATTTCTGAAGTGATACCCTATATTACCACATTATTGCGATATTTGAATGAAAATGAAATTAATAAGAAAGCTGATAAGATATGTCAACTTATTTGGATCCAAGATACAAAATGAACTTTTTTGATGCTGATTTAACTAACGAAGCAAATCTAAAAACATGATACTTTAATTAATAATTGGTGATATTTCCACAAGGATCCTTCAAGAAATTAATTTTATAGCGAATTTTGAAAGTTATCGATGAAAATTGCAACATCGAAAATTTTATCAAAACTTTAAATATTGTTTTCTCAAAAACTAAAAGTTATTTTTCAAAATGGGTTGGTTCATTGGAAAGAAAACACTTTTATTAACACTTTGGGAAATTTTCATACTAATATTAAAAAAACTGGATTTTATACGAATTTTTATAACTTAATCGACGAAAATTGCAAAATTCGAAAAATTGTCGAATATTTCAAAAATTTATTTCTTAAGAACTAAAAGTGATTTTTCAAAACGGCTTTTGCATTAAAAAGAGGATACTTTAATTAATAACCGAAAGTGATAACAGCGACAGTTCTGTTAGTAATAAATGTGATGATGAATTACCAGCGAAAATAAGAAAACTAGACGAAACTGCAAGAAGCGATTTTATATATCGTATTGGGATTGTTACAATGAGGTTGCTAATGATAAATAAAGTTGTATTCAATGATAAAAGTCCTATTGGGGTTGAACTTGATTATTATCTACACTGTCCAACACCTAAAAGAGATACTAATTCCTGTGAATGGTGGATTTGGTAAATATCCGGCCGGATACCGGATAGTTGCCAGATATCCGTTCAATCACTAGTATTCATCAACAAATGCCTGCGATACATACTACACCACAACATATTGTGGCCACGAGTTATTTCAAATAACGAGTTATAGGAAATGATTGAGCAATCTAGTGGAAACAAAGAAGTACAACGGCGAAAGTGCAAGTGGATTGGATACGCTATGAGGAGACATAAATCTACCTGGTCTAGAGTTCTAGAATGGAATCCTCTTTGGGCCAAGACATGTGGAAGACCCAAAATGATATAGAAGAGAATAATTGAAAGAGAAATCAACAAACTGTCAATTTCACAAATGAGAAATGCAGCGAGGGACCGTGGCATATAGAGAGATTTCTATAACAACCTATGATTCACCAGGATTGTCATCATATCATTGATAAAAAAGCAGTAGTAGTAGTCAAATTTCACGTGTTCAATATTCAAATATATCAATTAACATTATAATACCTTTTAATATTTCAAAGTAGACCTTTTACAACAATATAAAAACACGTCATTCTTCATGGTAACCATGATTATGGCCGTTCTGCTTATCTAAAGCAAACAGAAATAGAATCAATTGTATTTTGTATACTTGTGTGTATTTATATTTTAGAAGGCTGTAGAATTAACAATAATGAACATTTTGACTTGGTTCTAGTTCAGACGAAAACCAGGTATGCGATTAAATATGTATACAAAGCTTGAGCACAATTGAACAAGTAGATTTTGAAGAATCGTGGTTACCAACTATCATAATGTTTCGCGTATTTATGTGTCAGACTCCGAAAGTTACGTTATTTGGCAGATATTAAGGTTTAGATACCATGAATGTCATATCAAATTGTCTGTGATACACTGCTCGTTACACAGATTTAACAATTGCACTGAAAATTAATATTTCGATTATGGTCTCCGCAGCTATCGCAGTACAACGTTATTTCACTACAAGTTTTAGTGTTGTCGTTTACAACGAATATTTCGTGCAGACTCCTATTTTTCTCTGTTTCATTATATACAT